GCCCTGGGTTTTGACAACAAACAAGGTAAACAGAATAACAAGCAAAAGGTGGGTGTGGCTGGATAACCACACTTCTGGTAGCATGGGGGTGCGGCCTAATGTGCTAATGAGCTGTGCTGTCAGGGGTGTGGCCTAATATGCTAATGAGTTTATGCTGTTGGATGTGGCCTGTTATGCTAATGAGTTCCTGCTGGGCTTTTTCTACAAAAAGAGCCCTGGACACACCTTTCTTTACTTTGACCAATAAGGAGATTTTTATGTAAATGTTGTTTTAAGTTTTTGTAACCAATTATGCCTTCTGAATATTATTCTCATGATGATGATGCGATGATGTCATTTTAAGTATTTAACTTCATGTATTTCCTGACTGGGCTCAGAAAGCAGTCAACTTTGATGGGTCCTTTGGCCTAACTGTTTTCCGTTATTTCATCGCCATAAAATACAAGAACTTCCTCCTCATTTTGACTTCAGTCTTCTATTTTTGACTGGATGTTAATTTGTATAACATCCAGGTGAACTGATCTCTTGTCACCTGGCGATCAGTTGTCATAGTGGGGGAGCGCCAGCCATCACCTGGTGGTTGATAACTCTAATCCTCTGAAACTAAGGTTAAAACAGCAGTCCTATGTTTGCTTCTGGGGAATCAGAGGTCATTTCGGGGGGATTGCGGGGGATCGCAGTTCCCCCGGGTGAGGTACAGGGGGCGGGGCACATGACGAAGCCCCGCCCCCTGCTTCCGGCCGTCGGCAGTGGAGCTGCAAGGCCGGCGGCGGCCAGGACCGTTGGGGGCGGAGTGTGTGGCCTTATGACACACTTCCGGTGATGTCAGGGGGTGTGGCCTTATGACACACTTTTGGTGATGTCAGGGGGTGTGGCATATGCTAATGAGTTATGCTAATAAGTTCCCCTAGCTCTTTTTCTACGAAACGACCCCTGTGGGGAATAGACACCCCCCAAAACTCATCCTAAAGAGAATATGCTGTAACTGACCCACAATATAATATAGAATAGTCTGATGACATAAGAGATTAATGCCGGGTTGTTGCCGAATGTATTTTTTTAAGCTGCTTATTGCAAGTACAGGTGCGTTTGGCAAAGGTGTCTTTTGGATCTGATATAAAATCTAAAGTGAAGGAGTTATTGGTATTTCTTATCAGCAAGAGCTAACGTTGGTACTCTAAGCAAACGGAACTGTTCAAGAGTTACAGAGTGGTTGTTGTATAAACACAACTGATAAGCATGCTTTCAAACCTCTTGTGCTTGCTTATATTTTGCTGCTCCTGTGGTGGGGTTCTAATGTGCTAGGCTGACGGAGCTGAAATTTCCTGCAGCCATTCTTGTGGTTGAAGGCCGTTGTTGACATTCCTTTTGACACGCTGTGACATAATCCAAAGCGATCCAAATATAGAGTGCTTTTCTTGGTCTTGACGAACTCAAATGACTTCCGGGGCTTCTGCGTGGACATGGCTCACCCTGCGCTTTCTCCAAAGCAATCATGAGATTGTAATTAAAATCTGATTCAAACCACGAGTTAGTCGTGATTTCTCATAACAGCTTGCCTAATGCGAGATGGTGGGTAGAAGGAAGAAGGGTACGGTGATTGAGGGCTTACGAGAATTGAACAGAAGAGGTAGGTATTAAGGGGTCAAACATTTGGATGTTGAAACACCTGTCAAGCTAGCTGAACTGAAGTAATTTACCCAGAGCTGGAAAGCACCGTGTAATTTTTAGGAGGGTGGGCAGTCCGGGTTCCTGGAAGTGTCCCAGCCCCAAATTTAACTGAGGAGCTTGAGTGAGACTTGCAGCATTCACGTTGTCTGGTTTTCCTGGACTAGGCTAGTCTCAGACTGTCGTTTTCATGTCCACGGTTATTGCCATTCCCCTTTTAATCTCCTCCTGCCTCTCGTCCATTCAGGTTGTGGATTGTGCTGGCTTTTAGCAGATAAAGAAGGATGGGCACATGCAGGGTTTTTGATAAGAGAGCTTTGTGCCGAATAGAATGTTTCACGAGATCACAAATGTTGAATTCTGGAGCTGTCTGTACTGTCCTTGTAGCATTTGGTATCTTCAGAGTTTTCATGGCTGCTGTTAGTAACATAATATGAAGTTCGCGGTTCCTGGCTAAGGTTGCTGCTCTCAAGAAACATTGAAAACTTTATCACCTTTGCAAACATCTATACCGATTTTCAATCTTCGGAGGATTTTAGTTAGTTGGCTCCGCCCCAAGTGTAGTTAGTTTTTTTATTCTCTGGGCTATGCCTGGGTTTTATATGTTTACTGATAGTGACTATGTACCTTGTCATGTTTTATGTCAATTTTATGTACCTATTTTACCCCTTTTGCATTCTCTTTTGGTCAAGACTTCGGTCATATAGACCCGTAATAAATTGAATTGAATAATATGAAGTTATTTTAAGTTCACACTGAGAAATCTGTGAACTGACAGATGTTTTCACTGGTCCTCGGGAATAAACAAACGTTTAAAAATGTTAATATGCCTTTAAGGTCAAACTTCCAAGCAAGGCGAGCCATTGCTGCGATGATATGATTGGTTTAATTTCTGTACATTATGCTGTTATGGCTCTAGAGCACACAGTGATCTCCAAGGCTGCTATCTTTAAAGGGGGGGTGTGTGTCAGTGTGGATGTGTTCAACCTAATCTGACTTTTGTCTTAACTTTGCATGCATGTGGAAGTCTAGTAAAAACAACAACAACAACCCTGTATTTGCTTTCAGGCTTACAAAGATGCCAGTGTACATAGGCAGTTTTCAGGGTTCCCTGCCTGCGCCTGCAGATGAAGCCTGAGCTGTTTTACTTGGTTGTGCAGGAGGGAAGCTGGTTGGTGGTGGTGCGCCCTTGACTGGATAGCCGCTGCTCACTTAAACTATCAGCCTTTGTCCTCCACCAAGAAGGCAGAACTGTGAGAACGGCCATTTTAAAACATACATGGGATTCCTGCTTGTCTCAATCAAACGCAGTCAGAACGGATGAGTAATGCAGGGACTCTTCTTTTGGGAATGACAGGGAAAAGGGAGTCTGGGGAACAGTTCGTGGAGGGGACAAAATGAGATATGTATATGCAGGGGTCATTTCCTATAGGAGCGGAGCTCCGGCAGTAAAGAGCCCAGGGGGCGGGCACGTGCAACAAGCCCCACCCCCTGCTCCCAGCAGCCCTCAGTCAGAGCAAGAAGCAGCCAGGTAAGTTGCAGAGCCAACAGGTCCAAAACTGTCCAGTGGCACCTTTAAGACCAAGTTTTATTCAGGTGCAAGCGCTCCCTCCTCTGCGAGGACAGATCTGCACGTTCTCCCCCCCCAATAGCTAGCAATCCAAAACAGTCCAGTGGAGCCTGAGCGGTGGGTGTTGCCTTCTGACACACTTCTGGTGATGTCAGGGGGTGTGGCATATGCAAATAAGTTATGCTAATGAGCTCCTGCACCTCTTTTTCTACGAAATGACCCCTGTATATATGGGGATGTGGAACTATAAAGGGAAAATTTTCAATGCATGTGGGCTAGAGGAATGACAATTCTGTTTATTCGTTTCAGAAAATATAATTGCCACACTGGATGCTCCCGTCTCCATTTTTAGGTTGCCTGCTCTATTCTTTCTGCCATCAGAATGGGCCATACTGTGGCTCAGCCCCTCTCCAAGGTTGGCAGACTTGGTTTGGAAGTCAGAGTAGACCACATATAGTTTAATTCAAACAGTAAACTAAGGGTAGAACAGTCCAGAAATGAGGAAAGGAATGAGAGCACGTAAACGGATTATCTGAACACATTCCCCGTCCTCCAAACGACGGCTCTTAATTATGAACCGTCTTGAGTTTTGTTTCTGAGTCTGGCTGCCCTTGCACAAGACCAGTTCTCACTTGCTGTAGTGGAAGGGGAGAATTGCTCAACCCACAGCTTCCTGGCTGCGTGGTGGTGAGTAGACAGAGTATTGTTGCAGAGTAGCAGTATGCTACTCAGAGTCTCACTAAGTGCTGATTTGTCTCTGGGCTCATATCAGAGTTCTGGTTCTAACCTGCTCCTAAGCCACTTAGAGCTTTAAAGGTTATTACCATGTGAGTCTTGGAGATCATCTTAAGAGGCTACATGCCGGCTGCCTTTCCTTTCAGAGGACAGGCCGGCTATGATTGTGTGGCAACAGTCATTTCTGCGACTTAGTTACTTTTCAGGTACTGAGTTAATATGCTTTTGTTTTTGCATATATTGCTGATTGAGTTGTTGGGGGAATAACTTGGGGGGCGGGTCTGATCTTCTGGTTTGCCCTTGATAATGATATTCGATTTGACTTCCTCTAAAAGAGTTTCCCCACTGCTCATTCAAGTAGTATTTAGTTTCACCATTTGGGTGGGCTTCACATATTTTAACGACATAATCAGCTTTCCCCCTCCCTTTGCAAAAGGTGACCCAAGGCAGCTCCTGTAAGCTAACAAAGTAACCTTTAATAGAATTTATTTTACAATGTACAGTTAAACTACAAAAATAGGTGTCCCAACCAGAGTTCCCTCTAAGCTGAGTTAGTGTGAGCTAGCTCAGTTTTTTAGCCTCTGGCTCACACATTTTTGTCTTCGCTCAGGAAGGAGGGCTCCAGAGCAAACTAATCTATGCAGGAGCCAAACCACAATTTTTAATGCCAGGAGCTCACAAAGGAGAATTTTTGCTCACAAGACTCCACAGCTTAGAGGGAACATTGGTCCCAACAGAACAATCCACAGTCAAAGCTCCGCACCACCCTCCTAATCGGTTGTTCACCCTTTGCCTTGCCAGCTCTGAGAAAGTAGGCTTCTAACTTCCTGTGACAAACCATTCCAAACAAACCTCTGAGCAGGTATTTTTTTAAAGTCGTAACCACCTTTAAGGATGGGATTCCAAGAAGTTGTTGTGGGGAAAATAAGTGGCACGGGTTTTCCTATAGGCAGAATGTTAGGTGGGTTACAAGTCATTCATCTGGAACTGCATCACCAAGGCCCCGGCCAGACGTGCCGGAAAACGCGAGGGGGAAGCGCGGCTATTTGTGCCATCGCATTCTGATGCACTATTATGCGATCAGACGCGACGGCGGCTTCCCCGCAGCAAAGAGGACGCCGGGGGAGGAAGCCGCGCGCCGGCACGATCACACCGGGAGCAATGTTCCCTCTGAGCTATGGAGTCTTGTGAGCAAAAATTCTACTTTGTGAGCTATTGGCATTAAAATTGTGACCGAGCAAATTGGCTGCTCCATAAATTAGTAGGCTCTGGAGCCATCCTCCCTGAGCCAAGACAAAAATGTGTGAGCCGGAGGCTAAACAACTGTGAGCTAGCTCACACTAACTCAGCTTAGAGGGAACACGGACCGGGAGGCTTCCATAGGCGGCCCGTGGCAAAGCGTTTGCTAGTACATGCGGTGTACTAGTTTTTTACTGCGCGGCTTCGGCGGCTTGCCACGGGGTCGCCACGGGGGTGCTACGCCTCCCAGATGTTCCTGTGTGATCGCGCCCGGATACTCCGCGGGACTCCCGTGCCTTCAGCAGGGCAAATGCTCCGTGTGACTGGGGCCTAAGTACAGTTTCTTTTGCCTTAAATGAGGGGATAATTTAACACTGTATTTTTTTTTCCATCAGAAATTCAGGAGTACTGCTGATGCTTTAATCATTTTGGCATAAGAATAGATAGTGTATTTAGTTCCTCTGCGTTACTAAATCAGTGCAGTGATTTCCCCCCTCCCTGAGGTATAGCATGTTTTTAAAAACTCTGCCTCTTCTTCCAGTGCTTCATTATCTGGATACTTCTGTGCAGCCAGCTTTTAATTAAATGCATCCTGCACTTGCAGCCATGGATCACTGTGTAGTGTTTTATGAATGGTGTCTTTTGAAAGCTCTCAGTATAAGATTCTGAGAGTGCTCTTTGCTGCGTGCTGCTTTTGGCTTAATCAGGTCATTACAAGATGGACCGACTTATGAACTGCTTTTCCATCTTGCTGGTAGAGAGGGGCTTTTATTTTTGGCTATTCTGCCTTGCTTAGGTTGGTAGGATGCAGTCTTTACTAGGTTTCCAGGTGTGTTTCCATTTGTATGGCATTTTTTATCAAGGGAATTCTTGAAGTCTCGTCTTTGCAGTAGCACAGTGAGGAGTGACTGTTAGTTTTTTAAAATAAAATTGTACCTCGAGGAAGCAGGAAAGTGGAGCAATTGTCACCCAGTATATTTTGATTGATTAGCGTCGGGGCATTATTCGGATCTGTATTCCAGCAGCTGAGTCCAAGGGTTGAGAGTAGCATGTGGCTCTGGCGTAAACAGAGCCAAGGGCAAATATTGAGCCGCATTTAACCTCATTAAGAGAATCCATTCAGCTGTCCACTGGCACAGGAAGAATTCGACTGTAGAAGCACCAGCAGCGTTCTGTTAAATCGCATTGATTAACAGGGCTCGATATGTCCTGAGGTGGGAGAACATTCTCTGTCAGTATGTGCAACGAAACCAATGTTCTTTTTAAAGCGCTGCAGTGATTCCTCTTGTCTGTGAGTTGTTCCTCTCGCTTGTGAAGATTTCTGCCTCTTGCTATAAAGGAGCCCAGAGTTTTGCAAGCTGGACAGTTGAAACTGACTTCCATAAAAATCTGACTCTCACCAGCACTTCCTCAGAACACTTGGGGCTACACCTAGGATAGAGCAAGGCTTCCTGATGCAAGAGCGAGGCTGTTCACAGAGGGAAGTGCAAACTCTGGGTCACAAGCATGCAGTCTTCCCCTGGGCAGTTCGGCTATCCTCCAGGCAAGCTCAACTCAGCAGTTATGAACTGACGTGGTGTATATTTCTTGAGTACAGTAAAACACAAATAAGCTACTTGTGCTTTCTGTTCTTTTTCCAGGGGCCAGGACAGAGTGTGTGTGAATGTTACCTTGCAAAGACCCTCAGCAGCCATGGGCGAGTACAGCCGTTTCATAGATTGGGATAAGATGGACTCTTCTATCCAGGACCAGGACTCGAAAGAGCTGACCAGCACAGAATTCCAAGAGCTGAAGCAACTGGCTCGCCAGGGTTATTGGGCCAAGAACCACTCGTTAAGAGCCAAAGTGTACCACAAACTAATCAGCAACATCCCTTGCCGCACCGTGACGCCGGACGCCAACGTCTACCGGGACATTGTCGTGAAGATTGTCGGCAAACGTAGCAGCAGCACCCTTCCCCTGCCAGAATTTGTGGACGACAGCTTAGTTCCCACTTACTGTCTGAATGCAGAGGGCGTCGGGGCAGTGAGGAAGATCATCTCGTGCATCGCGAGCCAGTTCCCGGACATATCATTCTGCCCGGCGCTGCCGTCGGTGGTGGCGCTCCTCCTCCACTACAGCAGGGACGAGGCGGAGTGCTTTGAGAAGGTCTGCCGCATGCTGGCCTGCAACGATCCCTCCAAGCGCTTCATTGACCAGACTTTCTTGGCCTTTGAGTCCTCTTGCATGACCTTTGGCGACCTGGTGAACAAGTACTGTCAGGCGGCTCACAAGCTTATGGTGGCCGTGTCGGAAGATGTGCTGGAAGTGTACTCCGACTGGCAGCGGTGGCTCTTTGGAGAGCTACCCATGACTTACATCGGACGCGTTTTTGACGTGTTCTTGGTGGAAGGCTACAAGGTGCTCTACCGTGTTGCCCTGGCCCTCTTGAAGTTCTTTCACAAAGTGAGAGCCGGGCAGACGATGGAGTCAGACAACGTGCAGCAGGACATCCGGGCGTTCGTTAGGGACATCGCAAAGTCGGTGTCCCCCGAGAAGCTGCTAGAGAAAGCGTTTGCCATCCGGCTCTTCTCGCGGAAGGAGATCCATCTTCTGCAGATGGCGAACGAGAAGGCTCTTCAGCAGAAAGGCATAACGGTCAAGCAGAAGAGGTAATGGGGATCTGTATAATGTCCCAGAAGCAGGGCGATTTTGGGGCAGGAACGCACAGGAACGGAGTTCCGGCTGGCTCCCAAGTTGGCCACGCCCAGCAGGAACTTATTAGCATAATAGGCCACGTCCAACAGCAGGAACTCATTAGGATTGGCTACATTAGGGGTGTGTGGCCTAACATGCAAAGGAGTTCCTGCTCCAATAAAAGTCCTGGGTTTTGACAACAAACAAGGTAAACAGAATAAGAAGCAAAAGGTGGGTGTGGCTGGATGGCCACACTTCTGGTAACATGGGGGTGTGGCCTAATGTCAGGGGTGTGGCCTAATATGCTAATGAGTTCCTGCTGTTGGGTGTGGCCTATTATGCTAATGAGTTCCTGCTGGGCTTTTTCTACAAAAAGAGCCCTGCCCAGAGGAATGTTTTGTTGCTGGGATTGCTCTCCCTTTTGTGAGAAGTCTGCGCACTGTGCAATCCACAGTTAAGGGTATCTATCTGCATGGCAGACATCTGCTGGTCCAGTGTCCAGAGAATTTGAATATTTGTCATTTCCTAGAGTCACGCCAGAGCAAACCGTGGTTCTTCCCGGTCATATGAGTTATCCCAGGCTTGTACAGATTTGTTCAAGTTATGAACCCCAAAACTTGTGCTAGTTCACCTGCTTGCACATCAATGCTGATCTGTGACATAGTGGCCTGAAAGGAATTGGGGGGGCGGATGCAGAGAAAAATGTGTGGTTTTTTCCCCCTCTTACCTACTTAGTTGAGAGGGATAGTGTCAGAAGGTGGCCATCTCGGTCTGTAGCAGAAGAGCTAGATTCAAGTCTCAGTAGGGCCTTAGAGACCAATAAGATTTCCAAGTGTCAAAGCTCCCTTCATCAGATACATTGGGTGGATAGTCCTACTTGGATAATTAAGCAAGTGACTTACAGTTTACAAGCTGACAGATAATAGGTGAGAGTTTCTTGGATTTCCCGGTAGAAAGTTATTTTTGTCGGAATGTTGTTGGTTGTTTTTTTTCCATAATGCTACCACTCCTAAGCTTCACTAACAAATAAATTAAAAAGCAACTTTGCTGTCTAGAAATACGTGCTTGGAAATGGTCTATACCAGTGTTCCCTCTAAGCTGAGTTCATGTGAGCTAGCTCACAGTTTTTTAGCTTCTGGCTCACACACTTTTGTCTTAGCTCAGGAAGGATGGCACCAGAGCAAACTAATTTATGCAGCAGCTAAGTCACCTGCTCACAACTTTAATGCCGGTCGCTCAGAAAGTAGAATTTTTGCTCACAGGACCCCACAGCTTAGAGGGAACATTGGTCTATACCCAAGAACACTGTAACATTTTGTAAATAAATTCACATTATGCAGAGTGCATACCACACTCACTTGGTTGTGAAATGTATTACGTATGAAGCCCCCAAATCCACTGTGCATTGCATAAAATATATTGACCAAACAGAGCCCTGCCATCAAGGCTTACTCTCTAAAAAGATGAACATAAGAGAAAAAGAACTGGCAAATCTAGAGTGGCTAAGGGTACCAAAAATATCCATTTGGGGATGTGCATGGGATCTTTAACCACAAGTACGTGTTGTGAAATGTTCCAGTGGGGTGGCAGTCTGCTCCCTCTAAGCTGTGGAGTCTTGTGAGCAAAAATTCTACTTCGTGAGCAAAGTTGTGAGCAAGCCATTTGACTACTGCATAGATCAGTTTGCTCTGGAGCCATCCTTCCTGAGCCAAGGCAAAAATGGGTGAGTCGGAGGCTAAAAAACTAAAAAACTGTGAGCGAGCTCGCACTAACTCAGCTTAGAGGGAACACTGGTGGCAGATCAGGTTGACATGTATTCCTGCATGTGTTAAAGATTCTGGGGAAGGTGTGAAGAGTTTGATGTTTTGGAGCACTGCATCAATGTTCAATATATTCCACTTTCTTGTAGTAGAAATAGGACAAGACCGGTGGCTGAGAAGTGGTATGGGAACTTGCAGATTTTTTGTAAGTAGACCCCCCAGAAGTGATTTAAACTGGCATAGGACTTGTGTGTACATCTGCCTGCACCCTTCTCTTTTTGACTGATGGGACTGTTTCCTCATTTCCTTCATGAAGTTTCAGGGTGTGGACAGTGCCCTGTGTACCAGCAGCTTTTACAGATAAAAGTTTCCCTTGCTCAGTTAGCTGCCTACAGGTTCCTAATTTTACTATCACTCTCTTCCCATTAAGTTTACTCTTAAACAATTCCCTTACAGCCCATATAATTTCGCATAATAGCCTATGATTGCCTTTCCCCTCCCCTTCTCTTCAAATTTAGCCAGTAATATTAGTGGCAAATAAAATTAGAGGCTAATAAATATTGGTGGCAAATTTAACTTCAAGATATCCAATGCTAATCTTTTGTCAATTAATTTGTTAATTTATAAACCAACCAATTAATTAATCAATTTACACAGGGCAGTTAATCCAATGTAATCTATTAATTCATTAATTTAGACCCACAATTAATAGGAAAGTAACAGCGTTCCATGCGCCTTGGTGTTTAGTCATGCCGGCCACATGACCACGGAAACGTCTTCCGACAGTGCTGGCTCTTCGGCTTTGAAACGGAGATGAGCACCGCAACCCTAGAGTCGGATTCGACTGGCTTTCGAGCAAGGGAAACCTTTACCTTTAACAATCAATTAATAATATTAGTAGCCCAACCCTTCTCTCTATTTTAGGGAGCACAATCTGCCAGGATCCTTGCTAGCAACATTTGCCAGGACTTGGGAATAGGGTAGGCATACCTTTTTCAACATATTTCTATCTCTTCTGTCGACCAGGGAAAGGCACGGTCCCGGTGTTCATACCAGACACGGCCAATCCAGAAGCACCACATCACCCGACTAGTGGTGGGACCAGTGTTCCCTCTAAGCTGAGATTGTGTGAGCTAGCTCAGTTTTTTAGCCTCTGGCTCACTCACGTTTGCCTTTGCTCAGGAAGGATGGCTCCAGAGCAAACTAATTTATGCAGTAGCCAAATCGCTCGCTCACAACTTTAATGCCAGTAGCTCACAAAGTAGAATTTTTGCTCACAAGCCTTTACAGCTTAGAGGGAACATGGGGTGGGACTGAAGCTTTTCTCCTCTGTTCCTGAAGAGAGCTCTATCCATGCGCACTCTTCCTCATGTAGTGAAAAGTTCAGTCTTAGCACCAGACCACAAATCTTCCAGTTCAAGTGGCCTGGAGTTGTGGACAGACTAATCGTAGGATATTGAGCTGCTGGCATTTAATGTTAGGTAAAGGTCAGGTCAGTTGTGTTTTTAGGGTTTGTAAGCAAACTTTCTTTGCAGGGCAGCTGTTTCTTGCTGTTTTTGTTGCTGTCAAATTGCAGCCAACTTATGGCAAGAGATGTTCGGAGATGGCTGCCTCTGTTGTCATGACCCTGGACTTCCTTCCAAATACTAACCAGGGACAACCTTGCTTAGCTGGGCCAGCCTGGGCTATCCGGGTCAGGGCTATGCCTCGCTAGGTGCTGCTATTTAGGAGTAAGCTACCTGTTACACCTGCAAGATGCACATAACTAAGGCCTGGTGCACTCTCTTCCCCCCCCCCACTCTTCCCTTAAGTGATCCCTTGGAAGGTTGCGTCTCCTGAGCAGAGGCAGGTACTTGAGTTGTTCCTTGCCAACTGGTGTTCTGCTCAAGATCTGATTTCTTCCATATATGTGGAACCAGTGCTATTTCTGGTCAGGAATGCACAGAAACTGAGTTCTGGCTGGCTCCCAAGTTGGCCACACCTAGCAGGAACGCATTAGCATAATAGGCCACACCCAACAGCAGAAACTCATTAGGATTGGCTACATTAGGGGTGTGTGGCCTAACATGCAAAGGGTTCCTGCTACAAAAAAAAGGCCCTGGGTTTTGACAACAAACAAGGTAAACAGAATAACAAGCGAAAGGTGGGTGTGGCTGGATAACAACACTTCTGTTAACATGGGGGTGCGGCCTAGTGTGCTAATGAGCTGTGTTGTCAGGGGTGTGGCCTAATATGTTAATGAGTTTCTGCTTTGGGGTGTGGCCTATTATGCTAATGAGTTCCTGCTGGGCTTTTTCTACTGTGTGGAACCCTGCCAACGAAAGGGAACTGCAAAGTGAAGAGATTTCCACAGAAAAAAATGGACGGAAATGGGTGGATGTACACATAGTTCCTTTGCTCAAAATTGTGATTCTCCCAGCAACCGCCTTTTTAAAGAAAATAAATAAATAAAAGCAACGTTAGCAGCCAAGCTGTTCTTTATGGCATTCATTGTGGTGTTGGAGTCCCTAAGAACTGAGCCCTTCTTGCGAGTGATACATAAATGGTTGTTTGAATTTCCTGTGCCATACCCATGTAGTAACATTAACACTAATTCAGCCTTTCTGTCGCATGTTGCTAATATTGCTTCCACTAATTTTTATTGCCAGAGAAGCAGTGCTTCCATAATTGAAAAATATATCGATTGTCAGATCTTGATGAGGAGTTGATTTATTCAGATTAAACCCAGCACTATCCAAATTAACAATGTATGCTTCTCACCTGCTGAGTGAACGGCTAAAAAGAGGTTTGTGTGTATAGCAACATGCATAAAAGCCTGTTTTTTAAAAAAAAAACAACCCTAAAAACATTTAAATAGGGCTAATTTGAGAATAGCACAGAATATAAAATCCTCTCTTTAAACTCTGTTTGCTGTTTTATAATGTACAAACTTCAGAACATAACTTATTATCAGTTAACTTGGCATTTATGTGGAAGCAAAATTTCTTGCTAGAGTCTTAGGCCAGGTTAAGGAATAAGTATGAGGGAAATTGTTTGAACTGGATTGATATCTTTGGAGTGCCTTAGGAGACTGCAGAGGAGCACCTTTAATGCTCTCAGGTGTTTTCCCCATGTAGTGGTTGTAGGAACTTAAAGGAGAACTTTAGCACAAGCCCTGAGTTTCAGATTCTGCCTTAACCACAAAGCATAGTGGCGTCAACTTGGGCTAGTTGCTGTTTCCCAATCTAACCTACCTTGCAGGATTTTTGTGAGGACTGAGGGAATCAAAATCTAATGCTGATGCTTCATTTGTCTGGGCTGGTAGTCACAGTATTTGGGAAACCTGAGTATGAATGGGTAGATAAATAGTAAGTAGCTCAAGACCCCACTCTGTGGAAGAACAGAAGTTGAAAAAGAAATTGGAATAATGTTGTGAAATGGTAAGGAAGGCATTAAGAACTAGAGAATGCTGAACTATCTTTCTACTCTCTAATTTGTTTATCTGATTCAAATCTCTCTGTATAGGCGTCTTCCATGTGCTCTGGAATATAAGAAATTGCTGATCTTTTCCTGACTTCTTTTTTTTTGTCTCATTTCGTGCCGCCTTCTGTCCCTTCTGTATCTGCTGCACCCTCCTTCCTTGCAGCACTTCATCTCCCAAAAGGTAGGTTTAAATGTTTGAATTCTCCGTACCGGAGTTCTCGCTCTGCTTTGCGTGGCTTGGATTCCTCATGGCTGTCTGCTGCTAGTGCTGGGCGGCTGCTCCGGGTCAAGATAGTGGTGGTGGGGAAATCTTAAGAATGTCTCTGCAAGCCTTTTACCAGTCCTGCTGCCAAAGACATGGTGCAAAAGGCCCAATCTAGCCTGCCCGCTCTGCAGTCCTATAAAGCTTGTGAGCTGCGTGAGCATAACATGTACTGCAGGGAAGACCTATAATGAAAATCCAAAGGACACAAATGGTGAGCGACAGGATAGCGTACGTGAGGCTGTTCTGTGTGGGCGGGTAAAGGTAAAGGTTCCCTTGCTCGAAAGCCAGTCGAATCCGACTCTAGGGTTGCGGCGCTCATCTCCGTTTCAAAGCTGAAGAGCCAGCGCTGTCCGAAGACGTTTCCGTGGTCATGTGGCCGGCATGACTAAACACCAACGTGCACGGAACGCTGTTACCTTCCCACCGAAGTGGTCCCTATTTATCTACTTGCAATTCCTTGCTTTCGAGCTGCTAGGTTGGCAGGAGCTGGAACTAGAGACGGGAGCTCACTCCGTCATGCGGCACACCCGGGTCTCGAACTGCTGAACGACCGACCTTCCACAGCCTGCAGTTCAGCGTCTTAACCACTTGATCCACCGCAGCTCCTGTGGGCAGGTAAAGAGAAGTCTAATAGCTAGCTGGCTACAATGTCCAGTCCGCTGCCCTCAGCAGGTGTGGCTTGGCCTCTGTTGCCTTTTATCAGAAGACGTGTGACAGTTCAGGCCCAGTCGGGAAGTGAAGCACTTACCAGACATTCTGCGTGATTGTGCCTTGGCCTGCTTAGCGGTGCTTCAAGTGACCCTTTCTGGGGATGTTTTGAAGTAGGGTTCAAGGTCCGTTCTCCTCCTCTAAGACCCTGTTTCCAGTAGAGAGCTTGCAATGGTGTGTGAGGTTCCTTCTCTCTCTTCTCTCCCCCCCCCTCCAGTAGCCTGTCTGGTTGTTTGTCTCTTACCATTTGTCCCACCTCTTCACTGCTCATTATTTACAGTGGCTCTTAACACTTCATATTCTGTTCCTTGCCCCAGATCGGTCCCCTATCTTTTGGCTTTTACTGGCTTATATTTTTCTACATGCTACGTTTGCCATGCTTCTCCCTCACCCCCACTCCCCAGAGTCTCCTGGCTCTAGCGGTTTCCCTCCCCCCATCCCACCCCAGAGTCGCTTCCCTTTACATCCATGTCGCAGGCATGCAAGCCGGAGCTGCTCTGATGGTTCCCAGGGTCTTCATCCTCCCCCTGCCCGCCTTGAGTGAGTCTTGGCTCCAGAAGGGAAGTGATGGCGAACCTTTTAGAGTGCCCAAACTGCAACCCAAAACCCACATTCATCGCAAAGTGCCAACACAGCAATTTAACCTGAATACTGAGGTTTTAGTTTAGAAAAAACAACTCATACATTAACATAAGATGATCCAAACAAAGTAAGGAAAGCAATCCCAAATGCTTTCATTTACTTAAAATTATTTGGCAGAGAATTCCACACTTTAATGACGGACTGGGCCTGGCTGGGGCGATGGCACGCGTGCCCGCAGAGAGGCCTCTGAGTGCTGCCTCTGGCACGCGTGCCATAGGTTCGCCGCCACTGCGGTAGGGTCAGGGCTATTTTTGGGCAGGAACGCACAGGAACGGAGTTCCAGCTGGCTCCCAAGTTGGCCATGCCCAGCAGGAACTCATTAGCATAATAGGCCACACCCAACAGCAGAAACTCATTCGGATTGGCTACATTAGGGGTGTGTGGCCTAACATGCAAAGGAGTTCCTGCTACAAAAAAAGCCCTGGGTTTGGACAACAAACAAGGTAAACAGAATAAGAAGCAAAAGGTGGGTGTGGCTGGATAACCACACTTCTGGTAACATGGGGGTGCGGCCTAATGTGCTAATGAGCTGTGCTGTCAGGGGTGTGTCCCAATATGCTAATGGGTTCCTGCTGTTGGGTGTGGCCTATTATGCTAATGAGTTCCTGCTGGGCTTTTTCTACAAAAAGAGCCCTGGTAGGGTAATCAACTCACCTGCCTATTTGCACTTGTCGTTTCTCTCCTGTTGCCACTTGGACTCCTCCTTTAAGATTTCGCCTTTGTACAGTGTCAGACTTCCTCTTCCATCCTCATCACGGAGTAATAGCATCACGTAACATCGGAGGGACACTGTGGTGGGAATACCTTGTGCTTGGCAGCCACCGAGCCAGAGTTGGCTGTTGGAGCAGATGATCTGTGTAAACAAAGCCCTTGCAGTTGCAATCTGTTTGTTTTAATAGCAACTTACAAACTGTCTGATCCTGGTACAGCACCGGCCCTGCACTCAGAGTATACTGCAGAGGAATCCATCCAAGTGGACCCCTCTCATTTCCACTTAAGGCCGCATGTACATTATTGCAGAGTTCCTGTCATGAGTGACAAAAGCCGAAATAGCAGCCCTTCACCCTGCAAAAAAAAATGCTGCTTCCTTAGGCAAATGATGTGGAAAAGGGAAAGCATAGTATGCTCTGCTCTTGCTAAAATAGTTACTGCAATTGCATCTGCCTGCCTGCAGACAGGCATAGGAGAAAGAAACAGTGCAGTTTACTGGGTTTGAGCAGGCCAGGGTGCCTTCATTGCAGATGTAACCCTTGTAAAGCATGGGGGAGGGTTTGTGATTCTTCCTTCTCCCTCCCAGCAAAAGAAGCTCAGATCTTCAGTCCTGGTTACATTCTAAGCAACTTTATTTTAAAGAAGAAGAAGAAGAGATTGGATTTATACCCCACCCTTCACTACCCAAAGGTGTCTCAGAGCGGCTTACAAACTCCTTTCCCTTCCCCTCCCCACAACAGACACCCTGTGAGGTGGGTGGGGCTGAGAGAACTCTGACACAAACTGCTCTTTTTCAAGGACAGCTGTGCCAGAGCTTGTGACTGACCCAAGGTCACATCAGCAGCTGCAAGTGGAGGAGTGGGGAATCAAACCCTGTTCTTTTAGATTAGAGTCCGCACACTTAACCACTACACCAAACTGGTGTATAGAATAATATGATTCTATACACTTGTCAGGGCTGCTGTAGGCTAATTCTGCGTTGAGCAGGGGGTTGGACTGGACGGCCTGTATGGCCCCTTCCAACTCTGTGATTCTATGATTCTAGTAGCTCAAGAATTGATCTTGTACCAGATTCCCAACCACCCCCATTAATGGGCAGTGTATTACAGTGGTTTAGAGTGTAGAGCTGGAGGGGGGGCTGGTTTCAATCGTAAGTCTCCCCGGGTGACCTTGGACCCCTTTGCTCCCTTTCTCTTTTATATAAACTGGCACATGTCTAATGGCCATCAGATGATGATTGTGTGAGTATAGGGGGGGGGAGTGAACGTGGCAGTCTAATCTCGTTGGGGGAAATGTAGGTGAAAATGGACTAGATACCGAGTCTCAGGAGAGTTGGTCTCCGTAGTGCTCCTTCCATTTTACTTAACAATAGAAACATCACCTGTGTCTGAACGATGCTGGCTCATTCCCATCTCCCCCTCCATTCCTGTTTCCACCCTTTCTGAGGCAGACTGAAATCGTAACCCCTATGGAACCTTACATTTTAGTGTTGCAAGTAGCCCTCTAGCAGCGCGCGGTGATGGGGTTCTTCGGGATCATGCTTACCGTTTTTTAAACTGCGCCAAATTAGGTTAAGGTCATTATCCTTAACAGACTCAAATGGCATCACACTGTTGTTCTGGATCAACTCACAGAGAGCCAGTTTGGTGTCGTGGTTAAGTGCGCGGACTCTAATCTAGGAGAACCGGGTTTGATTCCCCACTCCTCCACGTGCACCTGTTGATGTGACCTTGGGTCAGTCACAAGCTCTGGCACAGCTGTCCTTGAAAAAGAGCAGTTTCTGTCAAGAGTTCTCTCAGCCCCACCCACCTCCCAGGGTGTCTGTTGTGGGGAGGGGAAGGGAAAGGAGTTTGTAGGCCGCTCTGAGACACCTTTGGGTAGTGAAGGGCGGGGTATAAATCCAATCTCTTCTTCTTCTTCTTCTTCTTCTTCTTCTTCTTCACACATGCACAGTTCGGCAGCCTCCCTTTCCCCACCGTGGCTTCCCCCGGCATCTGATCCTGCCGGGGAGGGAATGCGCCGCGGCTCGGGATCAACGTGATCCCGCCGCCGCGTGTTTCTTTTGGTGCGGCTTTAAAAAGCCACACTTTGCCCGTACCTTCCCCCCCCCCCATGTGACAGGGACCGTCGTAAGCCATATTTCAGTCTCTCCATCCCTTCCTCTATACTGAGCTTGGACAAGTGATCGCCAGTTCCTTCGTTCTCTAGCCAATGATGTCACCGGAGCAGGCAGTCTCATCTCCCTTTGCCAGTGGTGTCTTTTATGACTGTGTGTCAGTGGTGTTCTTATGGACTCTTGATGGCGCAGTTAGTGTGCTGAGCCAAGCGTGTTTAACCGTGGTATGGCAGAGAACCGCGTCTCTGTGTAAAGCTCGCCTGGCAGTTCTGCAGGGCAGAGGGGGCAGAGTCGGAGCCCTCCAGCTGGGCTTCGTGAGGCTGAGAGGAGATTGCCCAGCTCACGGGAAACTCACAACTGTGCGCTTCTCAAATCTCCTCACTATGCATATCCTTAAGGATGGCTGTCACTTAAACCCGTGTGCTAGATGTGTTCAGTATTCAAATGGAAGCAGGATGAAGGGCCTGTCTGTGCATCTGCATTTCTACCTTTTCCCCTGGCATGCAGAACAGTGGCTTCAAGACTCAGCTTGCTCCACGGCATGGCTCTTGCGTGCATATATACTGCTGTCCGTGGAACCAACACTAGAGTTGGGCATGGCTGTTGGAAAGAAATGGCTGCTGTATTGCCTTATGCCTTGCTTACGCTTCTTGGGCCCAAGTCATTTAGCTGCTTAATTGATTTACAGTATCTTGGGCCCAACTGAGACGTCTGTAGGTTCTTTACTTCCACAGGTACAAAACGTGGCTCCACAGGTAGGTGGCTTCTTACAGTGGAGTAGATCGCAATCACGTTTGCATTCAAGCTGTGGCAGCAGTTGAGATGTTTTTGGGTGGCGCTGACTGAAATTTCTGGCCATAAGATTTTTTTTCATTAAACCCTCTGTCTGCTGTTCGTTAAAAGCCCCAGAAATCACTGTGATTAAGCTGTTGCTGGATGGAAAACCAAGTTTTAAACTGGGCAAATGGGTTTCTTCCCCCCCCCCCATTGGGTGAGGGCCTCATAAAAGTCTGCAAAAATAGTAGGAAAGCAACTTAAAGAACAAAAGGTTTTTAAAACTTTGGCCGATTGTATATTTTGACTATCTGCATGCTTAAAATAATACTAGCTTCCATTCAGTCTCATGAAAGTTAACATACAGAAATAAAATTCCATTTCTAATAACCTATATAACAAATAGATTCTTTTGAACTATGGTGCTGGAGAAGACTCTTGAGAGTCCCTTGGACTGCAAGAAGATCAAACCAGTCAATCCTAAAAGAAATCAACCCTGACTGTTCCCTGGAAGGCCAGATAACGAAACTGAAGCTCAAATACTTTGGCCACCCAATGAGAAGGGAGCCCTCACTGGAGAAGACCCTGATGCTGGGAAAGACTGAAGGTTCAAAGAAGACGGGGACGGCAAAGGATCAGATGGTTAGACAGTGTCAATGATGCAACGAACATGAAATTGAGCCAACTTCAGAGGACAGCAGAAGACAGGAGGGCCTTGCGGGACTTGGTCCATGGGGTCGCAAAGAGTCGGACTCGACTGTGCGACTGAACAACAAATATAACAAATTATAGTTTAATCCTTTAGAAAGTCTTGTTAGTGTTATTGAGAATTGGAAAGCCCCCTTACCCATATCCTAACATCAATGTATTCTAGCCTCCTTCTCCTCCTCCTCTTTTCTGTTTATGGAGTGCTTAAGAAGAGTCACCTTCACAATGCTTATAGCTTCAGTAGCAAAAATAGTGTTTGCTACTGTTTTTCCTGCTTTTAAAAAAGGCTAGAATAGAAAGTCTTTGTGGGCTGGCATCCTCTTGTTTTTTGGAGGTGGGTGGGAGGTTCCCCACATAACCCTGGGGTAGTCATACACAGTGCGTAGTGTTAAAAGAAACTCTCCTTTACTTCTCTGCCCACCAGGTACCTGGACGGTGAGGCCTGAATTGAACAGTAGCTTCTTCGGCCTATTGCTCTTGCAGCCTTCTTCAACTCCTGCTTTCTGTTGCCCTGCAGGCAGAATGTCCACCTGGCAGTTCACGCTGAAAACTTCAAGTCTGAAATTGTGGACGTAAAGAAGATGAGAGACATCTGGTCGTGGATTCCCGAACGCTTTGCGCTTTGCCAGCCCCTGTTAGTGTATACCACCTTGGAACACGGCTGCAGCTTGAGCAGGTGAATAGCCTTAAGTAAACCTAAACAGGAATTTGTGGTATAGAAGGCCATAAGACGATTGTAGGTGGCTAGTAAGCCCTTCCTCGGGTGCCCTGGTGGCATGAGTGCAGGGGTCATTTCGTAGAAAAAGAGCTAGGGGGACTCATTAGCATAACTCATTAGCATATGCCACCCCCCCTGACATCACTGGAAGTGTGTCATAAGGCCACACCCCCTGACATCACCAGAAGTGTGTCATAAGGCCACACACCCCGCCCCCAACGGTACCGGCCGCCACCGCCGGCCTTGCAGCTCCACTGCCGAGCCCAATGAGGGGCCCGGTGGTGGACCTGCAAGGCCGGCGGGAGTGCAAGGAAGCCCGGCGAAGGCCCTCCCTGGCCCCAGGCAGGCAGGGGTGGGGAGAGGCAGGGAGGAAGCAACTTACCCTGGAACTGCGATCCCCCGCGATCCCCCCCCCCCGAAATGACCTCTGCATGAGTGCTTTATTCTTAGCAGCATCTTTATCTAAGACCAAAACTAGACATTACGGTTCACATCAGTTGGGACATAGGTGCTCAACCAGACTTACTGTTCACACATAACAACTTGTATCAAGGAGTGGTTTCCAGCTTTCCTCGTGTCACACAAAATGGCCACAGCCCCTCCCCCCCAGTGTTCCGGAGTCCAACGGAGCATTTTTATTTATTTTATTTATTTATTTTATTTCATTTATACCCTGCCCTCCCCGCACGCGGGCTCAGGGCAGCTTACAAAACACCGAGGTGTAATACAACACCACAAGTTAAAAAGAATTAAGGCACGCAGTGCAATAAAATACAGTTAAAACAGTTTAAACACAGTGGACAACTCCCAGGATCCATCGTGACTAATATGCTCACTCCCTATTGTACATCACATTGGGGTCAATGAGAGGGGTGCCATGGGCCACGATGTTCAGGTGGCCAATCAGCCCAACCTGGCGGTACTGCTCTGCGATCGCCCATTGGTGGTGGCAGCAGCGACTCCTATTCGAAAGCCTGGTGGAAGAGCTCCGTCTTACAGGCCCTGTGAAACTGTAACAGGTCCCGCAGGGCCCTGATCTCCTCTGGGAGCTCATTCCACCAGATAGGAGCCACCACCGAAAAGGACCTAGCCCTTGTGGCAACAAGCCTGGCTTCCTTAGGGCCTGGTGTCACTAGGCGGTGTTGTGACCCCGACCGAAGTGCTCTTTGGGGCCTGTATGGGGAAAGGCGGTCCTTCAGGTATGCCGGACCCTGGCCATGTAGGGCTTTTACAAGTTGTTACATGTGACAGCCAGTCTGGTCAGGCACCCATGTCCAGTTTGGTGTAGTGGTTAAGTGCGCAGACTCTAATCTGGGAGAACCGGGTTTGATTCCCCACTCCTCCACTTGCACCTGCTGATGTGACCTTGGGTCAGTCACAAGCTCTGGCACAGCTGTCCTTGAAAAAGAGCAGTTTGTGTCAGAGTTCTCTCAGCCCCATCCACCTCACAGGGTGTCTGTTGTGGGGAGGGGAAGGGGAAGGAGTTTGTAAGCCGCTCTGAGACTCCAAGTGAAGGGCGGGGCATAAATCCAATCTCCTCTTCTTCTAATTCATGTCACATGTTTTGCTCTAACACAGCCAGTTTGGGCTGCATTACCACAAGCATAGAATTTGGGCTGGTTTTACACTGAACCTGTCAGTTTGGTCCCCACTGTCCTGTGATCTGGCCTCGTCCATAGAACCCTGCTGCACAAACCAACTTCTATAACTGACTGGAGGCGAGAAGGGCAGGCTGGAGAGAAGTAGGGAAGAAAACGCACAATTTTTCTGTGGGAGGCGGGAACTGAAGAGCATGGTTTCCTCAATAGTGCAGGAAGGCAGGTGAGCACTACAAAATGTGGGTGAACAACACCATTAAGCACAATCACAACATTATGCGATTGTACAGGGGTACTGTGTTTAACTTGCAGTGTTGTCTTGTAGCATGAGTGCTAGATGCAGGGCTATTTTGGGGCAGGAACGCACAGGAACGGAGTTCCAGCTGGCTCCCAAGTTGGCCACGCCCAGCAGGAACTCGTTAGCATAATAGGCCACACCCAACAGCAGAAACTCATTAGGATTGGCTACATTAGGGGTGTGTGGCCTAACATGCAAATGGTGTGGCCTAATATGTGAATGAGCTGTGCTGTCAGGGGTGTGGCCTAATATGCTAATGGGTTCCTGCTGTACTGTGTAGTGTAGTGGGCTAAGACTAAGGTGAGAATGGGGAAATCCCTTGTGCAAACCTCACTGGGTGACCCTAAGCAAGCCCTGCCCTCAGCAGCTGCCAGTAATATGGGGCTCGTGATGATACTGACTCATGATGTTAGAAGGATCATATGTGGACAATAAGAACATAAGAGATGCCAATGTTGGATCAGGCCAAAGGCCCATCCAGTCCAACACTCTGTGTCACACAGTGGCCAGAAATACCAGGTGCCATCAGGAGGTCCACCAGTGGGGCCAGGACATTAGAAGCCCTCCCACTGTTGACCCCCCCCCAAGCACCAAGATGACAGAGCATCACTTGCCCCAGAGCCCCTATCTATACCTTGTGGCTAATAGCCACTGATGGACCTCTGCTCCATATGGTTATCTAATTCCCTTTTGAAGCCGTCCATCCTTGTAGCTGCCACCACTTCCTGCGGCGGTGAATCCCATGTGTTAATCACTCTTTGGGTAAAGGACTTCCTTTTATCCGTTCTAACCCGACTGCTCAGCAATTTCATGGAGTGCCTATGAGTTCTTGTATTGTGAGAAAGGGAGAAAAGTACCTCTTTCTCTACCTGCTCTATCCCATGCATAATCTTATAAACCCCAATCATGTCACCCCTCAGTCGTCGTTTCTCCAAGCTAAAGAGCCCCAAGCGCCTTAACCTTTCCTCATGGGGAAAGTGTCCCAACCCTTTTATCATTCGAGTTGCCCTTTTCTGCACTTTTTCCAAAGCTATAATATCCTTTTTAAGGTGTGGTGACCAGAACTGCACACAATGTATCTGGCTGTGCAAGTGGTGCTTTCTGTAAGTGCCAAGTGCCGTGTGAAAAGTTTATTGGGAGGCAGTCTGTTTTGATCATGGCTGGGTTCTTAAAAAGTTTAGCTGTCTCTGGTTTGCTAATCCCATTCCAGTTCGGGGAGAAAAATCCTTGAACGAAGCCAGCTCCTTGGAATTAGAATCCTTCCCCCCTTCCCCCTGGGTGTTGCACAGTAGATGGTGATACAAGTCAAACAATGACAGCAGTGACTGGGGGGGGGGGGGAATCATGACTATTATGTCTTAAGAAAGCTGAGGCTTGAATGTCCCATGCCTGAGGATGGGCTCTTAAGTTTGCAGCCACAATGCTATCTGAACCCAGGTTCAGTCCTCAACATCGACCAGGTAGCTCTCTAGAGAGCTGCTACCAGGGCTATTTGGGGGCAGGAACGCACAGGAACGGAGTTCCGGCTGGCTCCCAAGTTGGCCACACCCAGCAGGAAAATATTAGCATAATAGGCCACACCCAACAGCAGAAACTCATTAGGATTGGCTACATTAGGGGTGTGTGGCCTAACATGCAAAGGAGTTCCTGCTACAAAAAAGCTTTGGGTTTTGACAACAAACAAGGTGAACAGAATAAGAGGCAAAAGGTGGGTGTGGCTGGATGACCACACTTCTGGTAACATGGGGGTGCGGTTCAGTATAAGGCAACTTCGTGTGTCCATGCTCCACCACCCGACAGAGGTTGTGATTCTGTGTGGGTTACTGCATCCTCAGTACTTGGTCTACCAGGAAGCAGAAGGTAAGCCGTGACATGAAAGAACGTGTTGTGGAGCGTCCGTGCCCTCAAAGAGAATGTTACAGTAGTTAAGATAATAAGCATCGGAGTGTTTCCACTAAGGAGGCCTGTTCTCCCGTATCAGGTTCTTTTCGCACTGCGAGGGACACGAGCCGACTCTCCTCCTGATTAAGACGACCGCCCAAGAGGTGAGTCAGTAGGACAAGTACCGGCCGTGATTAAACAGCAATATGTCATTTCGCAGCAGTATTAACTACAGCTATTGCTTTGGTGGTTGTATCCACCTTGCGGAGAAGAAATCCCTGCTGCAGTCATGTGTTTTGCACAGATATCCTCTCTGCTTTTAGGACCTTACCTTTTGCCCCTTGCCATGTCCACGAATGGAGCTGCGGTGGCTCGAGTGGTTAAGACGCTGAACTGCAGGCTGTGGAAGGTCGGTAGTTCGGCAGTTCGAGACCTGGGTGCCGCATGACGGAGTGAGCTCCCATCTCTAGTTCCAGCTCCTGCCAACCTAGCAGTTCGAAAGCAAGAAATTGCAAGTAGATAAATAGGGACCACTTCGGTGGGAAGGTAAAAGCGTTCCGTGCACCTTGGTGTTTCGTCATGCTGGCCACATGACCACGGAAATGTCTTCGGACAGCGCTGGCTCTTCGGCTTTGAAACGGAGATGAGCACCGCAACCCTAGAGTCGGATTCGACTGGCTTTTGAGCAAGGGAACCTTTACCTTTACTATGTCCACGAAACAATCTGTACCTTGAAATGCGATTCTCCAGGTTCTAAACAACATTGGCTGTTTTGGCTTCCATTGTTTACTCTTCGCACTGCAGGATTTGGGGAGACAATTGGGAGGCCTTTTACTGCTTTCTGACAAGCGTGACCCCCCATGCGTTTGCAGTAGGCATATGAATGCTTCAGCTGTGTGGGTGGACCTAATGCCATGGACCGCTGCCCCATTATTGTTACCCTGCCTTCCAACAGCATAATGATTGGGGCCCAAAAAAGTCCGTACAAGCTGCGGAAGAGAAGGGGAAAGGAGAAGTAAAGGCTGAAGGACTCTGAATTGTGCCTTTGAGACTTTTGTTATGGGATGATTGGGGGTACTGTTGCTAGACAGTTAAATCTAAGCTTTAAAGAAAAAGTGCTATAAATGTTTGACTCAGTTTATAAAGGGATCAGTGATGGGAAGTCTTGATGTACCTAAGCTAGTTGTAGGATCTCCTCTCTTGGGGTTTTAGTTAGTAGTGGACTTCTTTACTTTATCCCGTATATGTAGTTCCCCCTCCCTTTTCTTCTGTTGTAGTTTTTTGTCGTGATAAAAAAAATAATAAAAAATCCCCTCCGGGGGCTCAAAAAATAAAAAAAACCCATAATGATTGGGTAGGAGAGGACCCGTAAGGTGGGACCAGTCCCTTTGACTGCATTATTCAAGGATATACCACAGCTGCCTTCACAGGTGTACCACAGCAGCACAAGATTACGTGAGAACCTGGTTCCCATTCCGCTGCAGGGATGCTTGGGGAGGGAGCAGAGGCATCGTTTTCTAGCAGCAGCTCCTGCTTAAACAGTGCCTGACCAGCCCAAACAAAGGGAAGGGTATACTGACTACAGACATAAATTGTTTCTGGCCTTGAAGTATTGAGATATATGTCTAGGTTGAGGTAGCAAGCAGTTACTAGATCTAGATCAGTATGATCATGTGTAAGTCTTAGCTGTCATGCTAAGTGGTTAAAGCAATTACAGCCAGGTGTTAAACTACCAGGTGTTGCTCTTCAAGCATTGTTAGAGTAGGAAATTAGTTTATCCTGTTAGTGATTGGCTGGGGTTAGTATCTAAGCTATCAGCTTGATAAGCTGGGTGGGGGACTTAGTTCTCTCCAACGAAGGTATGTTATGCTGTAAGACAATCTGTATATCTCTGTGTAAATATTCACCATTATCTCTAAGTAAACTTTATGCACCTTCATCACCAGTTGGTCTCCAGCTTCTTCTTTACTGCACCCAATATGAAGGACCATTTCATACAGTGCATGAAGGCAAACCTGGGTTTGCCCCCGGGTTTATACTCAACAGGGGAGCCACAGCCACCCCACAGCTTTTAGACTAGTGCATTTATACCTAAAGCCTCTTTGATATGCACCCAAAAATGCAGTATGAAAAAATGGATCTTGATCTTTGTGATAAGTCTTGGAATGCTTGAACATCTCTTCTCTCCAAAAGTTGGCTGTTCACTGTTTACCCACTCTAGGTCTGCGGTGCTTACTTATCGACAGACTGGAATGAACGCAAGCGAGGAGGAGGAAAGCTGAGTTTCTTCGGGACGGGGGAATGCTTTGTGTTCAGGGTAAGCAGCACTGGTGCCATTCCCTTCCGTCTGATCGGGGATGAGTCTTTTTTGCTGGCCCACCTACAAAGCTAGACTTCCTGAATGGGTCCCGATGCAGCCCTGATGCCTTGATCCCGAGTTGGGTCATCTTGCCAGGAAGAAGGATCGCCAAGGGCTTCTTGTTTGGCTTCACGGATCTCGAAAGCATGGTGTTAATACAGTGCTATGCCAAGGAGCTGCGGTGGCTCAAGTGGTTAAGACGCTGAACTGCAGGCTGTGGAAGGTCGGTAGTTCAGCCGTTCGAGACCCGAGTGTGCCGCATGACGGAGTGAGCTCCCGTCTCTCATTCCAGCTCCTGCCAACCTAGCAGTTCAAAAGCAAGAAATTGTAAGTAGATAAATAGGTGCCACTTTGGTGGGAAGGTGACAGCGTTCCGTGCGCCTTGGTGTTTAGTCATGCCGGCCACATGACCACGGAAACGTCTTCAGACAGCACTGGCTCTTCGGCTTTGAAACGGAGATGAGCACCGCAACCCTAGAGTCGGACTCGACTGGCTTTCGAGCAAGGAAACCTTTACCTTTACTTTATGCCAAGGCAGGTCTCCCTAAAGAGACAAGAAGCCCTGTCCCACTTAATTTATTCGGGGGCCCTTCTGCGACTTGGCAGCCCTGGGACAAAGCAGCTGGTCTCTTGACTCTGGACCAGGTTTCATCCTACCAGCTTTTCAACTGGCCACTGAGAATTAGGCTGGGCTGGGGGTCGGTTGGTGGGTTGGAGGCTCCAGTGAGGAGGGGAATGGAAAGACCCAACCCTCAGTGTCAAAATAAGTGAAGTCTGCAGTTGAAGTTCGGTTCTTTGGACTGTTCTGTGCTTCTAGACAGTCTTGTTTTAAACCTTACCAATTTAAGCACACTAATAGCACAAAACTGGGCGATATCTGGTTAGTCAAGGCAGGATGTACATTTTCTATTAATCCCTGCCCTCTCCTCGCCCTCCGTTGTGGAACTCGTCCCTTGTTCTGAATGTGATTTACCCGAATCCAGAAAAAGAGTATCATTAAAAGAGCATTTACAGGTTTTTCCTTTTGGTTACACTGTTGACTCTCTGGCTTGAGGAGCTCTGTTGTCATGCTGTGGGAAGAAATGTCTGTCTCATCATTGTATGCCCCACTTTCTCTGTGGTCGTGTACTTTGGTTGTTTTCAAATCCGGGCAAGGAGCTGGGAGCCTTTGTCCGGGGTGGGCCTTGCCCAGGTATCAAACAGGTGAATCCCTATAGCATGAAGAGGGTCTTGCCACCAAAGCATGTAAATAGCAATCTTGGGTTTCGAGGCAATGTTAAGAAAGATGCTGTATAATGTTGTCATGTATCCCTAAAGCTTTTCTCCTGGAAGTGTGGGGTGTGTTCGTCTTCAGGGAGGTCAGTCGGACTGCACTACAGGCTGTGCAGTGAGCAGTCTGACACCTGTTACATTGGTGGCTGTCTCCATCCGGTCAGTGGATGAGGTCCATTGGGTGCCCCCATGCAAACTACAGACCACGAATATATTGTTAGTCCATTGTCTTTGAGTAACTGTAAATCGCTCTGAGCCCGCATGAGTGGGAAAAAGCGATCAATAAATTGAAATAATAATAATAATTATTATTATTATTAATAATAATAATATACGTTTAATAAACTTGCCCCTCTTTCTAGCAACTGTCCTTTGTCAGTTGCCATACGATGTGCAACTTGTGCCAGTTCTGCTGTCTGATTTTTCTCAGAACCAATCATGTCCTCACATTGGTGGGGCCCCACAAGCTCACCGTTCATCAGAGCTGCAGGTCAAACCAACAATTAGCTCTAACCTCATCTCCTCTCTCCAGCTGGTGCCCGAAGTGGAGCGCTACGACTGGGTGGTAATCAAGCACCCGGAGCTAGCCATGTCTGGGCTCGAACAAGGAGCGGGCGCTCCTCAGGCAGCCGACCCTCCGCCCTCCTCTGCCGGTGCTCCCTCCGACCCTTCGGGCCGCCTCTCCCCCTTCCTTTCCGCCCGGCACTTCAACCTGCCTTCCAAAGCCGCCTCCATGTTCATGGCTGGGGACAGAGAATGCATCATCATAGGTAGGTCCAAGTATTTCTGCTGTTGCTTGTTGCGCGAACTTGTGCCCGGTTTGTATTTCTACACAATTGCGCCGCATGAGAACGCATAGCTTTTCTAAGTCTGTCTGAAACCGTTCACTAAATGGACTTCCCAAGGGGGAGGGCTTCCCAATAGGGCTAAAGGAGGCTGTTAAGAACATAAGAGATGCCAATGTTGGATCAGGCCAAAGGCCCATCCAGTCTGCATCAGGAGGTCCACCAGTGGGGCCAGGACATTAGAAGCCCTCCCACTGTTGTAACCCAGTGGTTGTCATACTGGCCAGTATCTATAAGGGCATGGGGGGGGGAAATCCCAGTTTTCTGTAAATCCGTGAAAAATGATCTAATTGGCGTTGATCTGCGGGGGCGGGGCACAGTGTTCCCTCTAAGCTGTGGAGTCCTGTGAGCAAAAATTCCACTTTGTGAGCTACTGGCATTAGAGTTGTGAGCAAGTTATTTGGCTACTGCATCAATTAGTTTGCTCTGGAGCCATCTTTCCTGAGCTAAGACAAAAACGTGTGAGCCGGAGGCTAAAAAACGGTGAGCCAGCTCACACTAACTCAGCTTAGAGGGAGCACTGGCGGGGGGTGAGCTTCAGAGTGAAGTTCCAGGAGGTGTTGTCTTTGCATGGATGGGCATTCTGCCTCTGTGGAGAAGGAAGAAGTAAGCACACCTGCTCAGCATCGGATCCCCCCCATCAGTTCGAGGCAAGTGGTGCAGCAAGCAGCCGATGGAAGCGATTCCTGGTTTTGTCAGTTTATTTTTGTACATCCCACCTTCCTTCTGCAGAATGTGAGGCACCGTGTGTAGAATTCCTGAGCAGTCAGCTGTCCGGCCAGTGTGGAGTAGAGACTTGGGAGACCCAGGGCTGAATTCACGTTTGGAGCCATAGCGTCACGATGGCGCTGGCGGGCCAGGCAGGGCACGGAAGTCCGAAACACAGTCCGAGGTCCAGGCGCCAGAGCAGGCAGAGAAAAGCGAGCAAAGTGCAAAACACCAAGTCAAAACGTAGCCCAGGGTCACCGGAGGTTGTATCAAAGAGTTCAGAAGTCGTCAGAAGTCAGGGTACACAGTTTGTAGGCGGGGAGCCGGAGAGAAACGAGGTCACACAAACCAGAGTCAGGAGCCGGGAAGTCAGTATGAAAACCAGGAGACAGGAACGCAGGATCCGGGGTGCAGCGAGTCGTCCAAGAGACTAGTTGCCAACACGAATTGTGGATCTGAGAGAGCCGCCTAATGAGCCTGTTCCACTTGTTAGCCAATTACCGGCCACTAACAGGGTCCTGGCTCTGGTCAGTGCTCTGGGCTTAGAGGGCGCCGACCTCGCATGCGCGCCTCCTCACGCCGGGTTGCCATGTTCCGTTGCCTCTGCTCTCGCAAGCGAGCCACCGGTGGAGGTGAATCAGGAGGCGTGGTGCTTGTGCTTGGCTCTGCCGGTGCGGCTCCAGGTGCAAACTCTCCTGTTGACTGGGGCTCATCCTCCTCAGGACTCCTCAGGTCCGGCGATTCAAGGGGTGCAGGGAACTCAGCCTCGGACGTTGAGGGTGCTGAATCCCCTGGGTCATGGTCCACGGGCCCGAGCTGCACGGTGGGCATGACACACAGAAGCTCGCCGGGTGACTTTGGGCCACTCGCACTCTCTCAGCCTAACCTACCTCGCAGGGTTGTTGTGCGGATAAAATGGAGGAGAGGAGGATGTTGTCAGCTGCTTGGGCTTCCCGTTGTAGAGAAAGGTGAAATATAAATGGGGGGGGGGAAGATAAACTTCAGGAAAGCCACCGCATGATATGCCCTTGGACTGGGAATCTGGCGTTCTTTAAAAAGACCTGCCAATTGGGTATTGTAAGCTGCAAATTATGTGGTAGTAATCTTGTCAATCAATATATTATGGGCATGGACCAACAGAACAAAAAGTATATTAACAGAGCAATTATAAGACTAACTATGGATGGATGGAGATAGTCTTCCATATAGATATATATATAGATAGTCTTCCGTTAAGAGAGAGAAAAGCAAATATGTGTCACTAAATCAACATAACGGCAAGGCACAAATTCAGGCACAAAATGAATGTCTCGAGATAATAACATAAGAACATAAGAGACGCCAATGTTGGATCAGGCCAAAGGCCCATCCAGTCCAACACTCTGTATCACACAGTGGCCAGAAATACCAGGTGCCATCAGGAGGTCCACCAGTGGGGCCAGGACATTAGAAGCCCTCCCACTGTTGACCCCCCCCCAAGCACCAAGATGACAGAGCATCACTTGCCCCAGAGCCCCTATCTATACCTTGTGGCTAATACCCACTGATGGACCTCTGCTCCATATGCTTATCTAATTCCCTTTTGAAGCCGTCCATGCTTGTAGCCGCCACCACTTCCTGTGGCAGTGAATTCCAAGTGTTAATCACTCTTTGGGTGAAGAAGGACTTCCTTTTATCTGTTCTAACCCGACCGCTCAGCAATTTCATGGAGTGCCCACGAGTTCTTGTATTGTGAGAAAAGGGAGAAAAGGACCTCTTTCTCTACCTGTTCTTTCCCATGCATAATCTTATAAACCTCAATCATGTCACCCCTCAGCCGTTGTTTCTCCAAGCTAAAGAGCCCCAAGCGCTTTAACCTTTCCTCATAGGGAAAGTGTTCCAACCCTTTGATCCTTCGAGTTGCCCTTTTCTGCACTTTTCCCAAAGCTATAATATCCTTTTTAAGGTGTGGTGACCAGAACTGCACACAGTATTCCAAATGAGGTCGCACCATTGATGGTCAAAGTAGTGCCACTTCAGATGAAGCGAGGCCCTCAGTTTAGCAGAGCTTCTTTCTTCTAACCATCAACTCTGGTCTCCTCTCCATAGGTGGTGGTGACGGGCAGGCTTTCTACATAGATGCCGATCTGAACCATGGAAGAACCAGCCATTGCAATACTTTCAACAACCAGCCACTGTGCTCCGAAAGCTTCCAGATAGCAGTCCTGGAGGTCTGGGGCTTCATCGACACCATGAGCGGCTGAGGCAGCTGCCTCCGTTCAAAACTCCTGGCTCTTGGGGAATCTTGGGATCTTGAGCACAGTTCCAGTTGCAAGAGTCGAGCTGATACCTGAGCACACAAAATTAGCGGGCTCCTTGTAATTCAGAGATCTGGAGGTTCTCTTGAGGAGCGCCCTTCCATGCAGGGCTCCGTCGTCCTTGCTGTCAATTTCTTCGGATGCGATTTCTGTTGGACTCAGTGGGTTTGTGCAGCCCATTAACTTTTTCGTGTCTCAATCTGGATACATATCAAGATATTTATGGTGGCGAGGCAGTGAGCTCTTGTATCCCCGTGTTGGCGCATAGTCATGTTGGATCTGTCTGCTAAATGCAGCTCAGCCTCTGACAGGCTACGTGAGCTTCTGATTCTGGCAAGTATTTGTAGGCATCGAGGGGTGGAAGCATTGTACTCTGCAGAAAGCTTCAGGTTTCTACCAGGATCAAAACCCTGAAGGAAGCTGTGTGGGACATGAAGTGATGATTATTTATTTTTTTCCAACCACATCGCATAGCATGCCAACCCAGAGGAGATCCCCTAACACTCAGGAGTAGCTTTTCTGGGGCTGAAATGGGACGGTCGGGAACATGTGCGCACCCTGCTCAGTGTATGCGGGAAAACTCTGCACATGCTGCTTGAGGTCTTCTAGGTTCTGTTCCTTGAAAAGAAATCTCTTAGGCAGTTCCATGGTAGCTGAAAGAAGTTGAGGATTATTCAGGTACGCTTGCCTCCCATAGCTCTCCAGTCCTGCCGATGGCTTCTGATGTGACGCAGAATGATCCCTAATGTGGCCTGGCGTTCTTATTTACCTATGATTTTAGGTAGTAGTTTGGAGCAGCTCTAGGTGTTCAAAGAAACACCCCACACTCCCCCAGCCGTGGAGCTGCTGCATTGGATTTGTAACTGGAAGAAAGGTAGGTGGAGCTTGCAAAAGCATGAGAAACCATTGACTTGGGTTTTTGAGCACAGTCTTCAAAGTTCAAGCCACTGCAGCTGGCTGCAAAGGTGTTTAAAACACACTGGCCTCTGTCTTGCCTGCAAATAGGGCTAACTCCTTCCATAGACTCTAGGGGGTGCTGTTTTACTGGCAGGCTGTCTTGGTCTCCAGCAGCCCTTGCAGGATCCTTTACCTTTTCCATGCAGGTGGCCATCAGATGAGCAAAAAGTTTTCAATGTAGCCAGCATCTCTGCATCTGCAGTAAAGTGGAGAGCTTAAAGGTTTCGCATTCTCTGTGTCAAACTGTGTCACATATTCTGGATAGAGTGCAAACCTTGTTTAAAGATGGAAATGGAGATGAGACCTGACAGCTCCAGGAACATTTAAAAGAAGCTATTTAGTGTCACAGTCCAGTCCTCTATCCCAACACCGCCTCCTAATGTGCCTTGGTTAGGGGGGGTGCTGTGGGTGAAGAGAAAACGTTGTGTGATACCCTATCTCCGAAGACCAGTCATTTGTGACAGTTGGTAAAGACTTATCTGTGGTAGTCTTGCCATTCTTCCTTGACATGTTAGGAGCAGTTCTAGAATATCCTGATGCGGTGAACTATACTTATCAAGTAGAAATCCCAGCAAATCATGCCTAGCAATTCTTGGGCCTGGCACCAGGTCACCGTGTTCCTCCAGAGCACAATGCCCATTTTTCAGCTGCTACTGCACTGTGAAAGACTAAAATGGATATTCATCCAATGTTATGGGAAGCAGGAGTAAGAAAATCATGGCTGGCATACAGCCTACCTGCTTGGAGATGGGCTTGTGATGCCGCTTCACAGTTTGGGCAAAAATGGAGCCGCCCTTGGCTTTTCCTGGCAGTGTTCCTGAAAATCATGTCTTAAAACGAATAGCCTTCCTTGGACCACGAGGAGCCCTTGAATTATTTACAGATCACTTCATTAGATTTATTTCTGAGATGTTAAGGTTCTGGTGATTGGGATGGAGCTGTCCTGCAAGGCCATCCGTGTGGTTTTCCCTTTTCCCCCCCCCCCCCCGTTTGATCAGTGCTGGATGGCAGCATCAGCAATACTGAGGAAGGGGAGCCATCCTGGAGGCATCCGGGAAATGACTTCTGTCTTCGGGAGCCTTCAGTCGTGCCCCAAGACTCTTGCCCTGTTCACAGAGGGTGCTGGGCGCTCTTCTGTTGAGAAGACACTTGGGGAACCTCTGCTGTTCCTCATTGTCCTTATAAGCAAAGAGTGATGAATCCGTTTCTTTAAAAGCAGGCAGCAGGAATGCTTTCACTTCTGACAGAGAAAAGCTGGCATGTCGTTAACCCCTCAACACAATGGATTGCTGCAAAGTGCATACAATTAAGAATAATAGACAATAATTAAACAATAGTACTGATGAGCTTCATGATGTTTTAATCTTTGTTTTTCAACAATAGGGCGCCACCAAACAGAAGATGACGACGTCGAGATGAACGGACGAACCTCCCGAGTTACCGTTCGTTTTGAAGTTTCTTTATCAAACAGGTCTCAGTTCAGCGTTCTTGTGCAATAAAGTCAACCACAAGGGTGTTCTTAAATTCAGATAACTTCTTCCACAGCTCTTGGTTCGTCCGTTCATCTTGACGTCATCATCTTCTGTTTGGTGGCGCCCTATTGTTGAAAAACAACGATTAAAACATCATGAAGCTCATCAGTACTGTTGTTTAATTATTGTCTATTATTCTTAATTGTATGCACTTTGCAGCAATCCGTTGTGTTCAGGTGTCATTTCATTGCTGCTCCCTTTGTTGGTATATGTTGTTAACCCCAACACGAGTCTGCAAGAATCAATGCGTAGCTCCTGCTGGTTCTTCCTCTTTCCCGGGGGAAATAGATTCTCCTTGCGGCCCCCTCAGTGTGTCCCGTGTCACCCCTTGGAATCTGACCCTTTTTTAACCTTCATAGTCCCCATGATGGTGACGTGTGATGCTGTGAGCAAGGGCAGCCCTCTCCCCTGTGGCTGAGGGAAGGTACTCCGGTGTGCGGCTGACCCGGAAGCAAGATCCCAGCCTCTGGCTTAATGTCTGTATTGACTGCTCTGTGTTGTTTTCCTCAAGGTGAAAATTGTACCTGGCTGTTATCAGTACATAGTGAATGTGCCGGTCCCCATCCCTGGAGTGCTTCTGCTGTGTGGTTTGTGCTCCTTCCCCCTGCTGGAGACTGTCGTATGGCTCCTTTACCATGTCAGATAATGTGGACTCTCCAGTTTGATGTCATTGATGGCAGCAGTGTGTGTGATTCTTTGGTGGATAAACATTGGGGGTTTTTTTACGGTCGAGAAATAAACTTAATCTTTCAGTACAGCCCTGTGGCTGCTTATTTTGGCTGTTTTCAACAACAACAGCCCTGTGGCTGCTTATTCTGGCTGTTTCTTTAAGTCGGTTTGTGCCTGAGGCTAGCACTTGGCCGGTCAGTCCTGTGCCAGGAGTCTGGGGGCTTGGCTAGCGCCCCCTGCAGCCCCCACTGCGGTTGAACCGTCTGACCTTCTGAACACCCCTAGGCCAAGGGGCACTCTGGATGCAGCTTCCACGGTCGCAAGCTCCTACTTCAGTGAGAACTCCGTAAGGATTTTTCTGGGGGTACTAATGTATAATATTCAACATTCATACTGGACATGAATGAGCTTGCTGTGGGCACCCAATATTGGGCATTACTAACGTCCCTCTTGCAGCAGTGAAGCAAATTTTAAGCTCTATTCCAAACAAGTGACAACCCAACATGGTAGAATCGCAGCTGCTAAATTAAGGTTATAAAACGTGAATTGCGGAGTCCAAATACTCCTCAACTGTCTCTGCAAAACTTTATTCCAAGTTTCCTCACTCTGTCTAAATTGGGCTGCCTCTTCCAATGTGCCTTGAGTAACAATGTAAAATTTCTGGAAATTTTGAAGCCATGGGGGGGGGACACCAGGTTTTCCCCAGTTTTGCTTTTTGGGGGGGAGGGGGGTGGAAATTGTGGGGAGAGCAGAAGCATATGCTGAGGGTCTGTGAAGGAGGAGGCAAGGAGCACACCTGTTTGATATGTTGGACTAAATGTCTGTCTCATCATCTGTCTCATCACTGTACGCCCCACTTTCTCTGTGAAGAGGGTCTTGCCACCAAAGCATGTAAATAGCCCTCTGGGGTTTTGAAGAAACGTTAGGAAAGACGCTGTATAATAATGTTGTGGTGTGTCCCTAAACCTTTTCTCCTGAAAATGTGTGTTCATCTCCTGTCCAGGGAAGTCAGTCGGACTGCACTACATGCTGTGCAGTGAGCAGTCTGACACCTGTTATATTGGTGGCTGTCTCCATCCGGTCAGTGGATGAGGTCCATTGGGGGCCTCCATGCAAACTACAGTGTATACATTTAATAAACTTGCCCCTTTTTCTAGCCACTGCCCTTTCTCAGTAGCCATACGATGTGCAACTTGAGGTTTACAAGATTATGCATGGGAAAGAACAGGTAGAGAAAGAGGTACTTTTCTCCCTTTCTCACAATACAAGAACTCGTGGGCACTCCATGAAATTGCTGAGCGGTCGGGTTAGAACGGATAAAAGGAAGTCCTTCTTCACCCAAAGAGTGATTAACACATGGAATTCACTGCCACGGGAAGTGGTGGCGGCTACAAGCATGGACGGCTTCAAAAGGGAATTAGATAAGCATATAGAGCAGAGGTCCATCAGTGGCTATTAGCCACAAGGTATAGCTAGGGGCTCTCGGGCAAGTGATGCTCTGTCTTCTTGGTGCTTGGGGGGGGGGGCCAACAGTGGGAGGGCTTCCAGTGTCCTGGCCCCACTGGTGGACTTCCTGAGGGCACCTGGTATTTTTGGCCACTGTGTGACACAGAGTGTTGGACTGGATGGGCCTTTGGCCTGATCCAACATTGGCGTCTCTTATGTTTTTATAACTTGTGCCAGTTCTGCTGTCTGATTTTTCTCAGAACCAATCATGTCCTCACATTGGTGGGGCCCCACAAGCTCACCATTCACCAGAACTGCAGGTCAAACCAACAATCAGCTCTAGCCTCATCTCCTCTCTCCAGCTGGTGCCCGAAGTGGAGCGCTACGACTGGGTGGTAATCAAGCACCCGGAGCTAGCCATGTCTGGGCTCGAACAAGGAGCGGGCGCTCCTCAGGCAGCCGACCCTCCGCCCTCCTCTGCCGGTGCTCCCTCCGACCCTTCGGGCCGCCTCTCCCCCTTCCTTTCCGCCCGGCACTTCAACCTGCCTTCCAAAGCCGCCTCCATGTTCATGGCTGGGGACAGAGAATGCGTCATCATAGGTAGGTCCAAGTATTTCTGCTGTTGCTTGTTGCGCGAACTTGTGTCTGGTTTGTGTTTCTACACAATTGTGCAGCATGAGAATGCATAGCCTTTCTAAGTCTGTCCTTTAGAAGAAGGAAGAAGAGATTGGATTTATACCCCGCCCTTCACTTGGAGTCTCAGAGCATTTCTAAGTCTGTCCTTTAGGGCTGGAGTCCTCTCGGTAAAGAGCCATTCACCTGCTGGCTGGCTTCAAGATTCCCTTCCCAGTGACCACGTAAGGATAATGCTTTGTAACCTGGAAGTTAGTGGATCTTCCCCCCTTTCGGGCTGCCCGTATTCCCCGTATTTGGGGCGGTTAAGCTGCAAAATGGCAGCACGGAACTGGGGACTTTTTTACTTTCTGTCCTCTCGGGCACCAGGGCTCAGGGTTTGCAAGCAGAAGGCCCCAGGTTCAGACCCCGGCACTTGCCCGTCAGGGGCCTCTGAATACGGAGGCCAGGTTGAGGGGGGTCTGCCTGAGATCCTGGGGAGCTGCCACCCGAAGGGAGCAGGTGGATCTCAGCTCAGCGGACCCCCAGGCCTGACTCGGCAGAAGGCACTGTGAATGAGCACCCTCTCCCACGTGCACTCCTCCACCATAGGAGAGCCACACTCCTTTTTGGAAGCAGGTCAGCCCTCCACAACGTGTCTGCATACTGTTCATGACAACTATGTACATGAGGACTCACACATCAGGCCGCCAGAGTCAGAAGGCATCTGGGCCCAGGCCTGCTGTGAAGCAACTCTGTCAAAGGATTCTTGTGCCCCGTTTGAAATAGGCTCTCCTTGTCTGAACACTCTCGGCTGCCAATCAGTTCCCCCCTACCCAGGTCTTGTTCCCGGTCTGGCCGGTCTTCTGCTCCTATCCACCGCTGATAATTCCTGTTCTCTAGACCAGGGGTGGCCAAACTGCGGCTCGGGAGCCACATGCGGCTCTTTCACACATATCGTGCGGCTCCTGGCAGGGTGGCTGGGGAAGCTAAATATCATTAGCAAACAAATAGAATTGGACAAATAAATATCGTTACCGATCTCTGCTTTTACCGCTTCTGTTATTATTTTTGGCAGTCTCATTTAATGTTAATAAAAAGCAAATTTGCATACTTCCCAGTAAAAACATGTAATATTTGTTCATGTCTTGCGGCTCTCAAACATCTGATGTTTATTCTTTATGGCTCTTATGTTAAGCAAGTTTGGCTGCCCCTGCTCTAGACAGCTTCTAGCAGTCTCTTGTAACTTGGGGGTGGGTGGGGGGGAGAACAGGCGCATTCAGTGTTTACATACAGAGAGACTAGAAGCTTGCTCATTTTCAGATCTGGTGCTAATGACCCATGGATCTGTTCTGGAAGAGCCCCTCACGGGGGCAGAAGGCATGCCATCATTAGCACAATTCTCTTGCGGAAGTTGCCGATTAAATTCCCTGGTGTTCTCATGGCTCCCTGGATGCTTCCACCCCAAGGGCCTCTGGGAAACACTTTGTAACCGAGCAAGAGCATCTGACGTCTCACGGAAGCTACCAACTGGGACCACAAACGGTGCAAAGATGTGTGAAACGGGCACAAATTATTCAGATCCGAATTTTGCCTGGGAAAGATAAAACACACACACACACACACACACACACACAATGGGACGGCAGTCGAGACAGTTTAATGCATTATTTTTTGATCTTCTCCAAAATTCCTGAGTCATGATTAAATCTGCAGAGCAGTGAGGAAACCTATTCAAGTGACGCCGATCGACTTGAGGCTCTCGCAGGAACGCTTCCGTCGCAAGGTGCGCGTGCCCAGCTGGGTACGGGTTGTACCGACTTAATAAGGCTTCTGTGCAAGAGGCTGCGGGGAGATGAAATGAACGTACCAAATACCCCAGTCCTGCTCCCACAACTCGGCTTTATTAAAGTGTGTGGGGGGAGATCTCACGTCTGTCCTTGGTGTGGAAATGTGCAGAGTTCCTGGCAGCTGAAATGCAGGGCCGGCCGGCCAGCCAGCCAGCCACACCATTTGCTCCAAGGGGGGGGCACTCCAAGCTCCACTCTGCAGTCACTTGTCAGGGAAGCAAACGCCCACAGATCCGCTCGAAAGACTAGGCCTTGCCCCCCCCGGGGGGAGGGGTTGTCATCATGCAATGGCTGCTTTCCAAAGATGCTCCCTCCCCACCTTGCCAGGTGCTTTGAAAAGCTGCCTCTTTGTGTCTTGCCAGGAGGGCGGCAGCATCGACGCCAGTCTCAGGAGCTGCGAGACGCCACACTCAAGATGTGCTGGGTGATGCTGGCAAGCGCGGGGAAGGCTGAACTCTTGGGGAATTCCTGGACGAAGTCTCTGCCTTCTTCCAAGCTGCGGGTGAGCTGGTGGTCCAGGGGCACGCACCCTAGGGCAAGGGAGCAGAATCACTGCGGGTGAGCGATGCGGACCAGGACGGAGGAAAGGACGCCAAGACAAGGACAGGGGCTGATACTCAGCCACCCACCTGTCCCTGAAGCCTCAGCGGCAGAGCCTGTCCCCTCACCCATGTCCTTTTAGTATGCGAATTATGTAAAAGTGCCTTTTCTTTATAGAGGGACAATTATTTCCCTCTATAAAGAAAAGCTGGTTGGACCTGGACGTTTTTTGAAACGCATGTGTTTAGCCCTTTGAAGGCTAAAAGGGCAGAATGTGGGATAGAACTGTCTGAAAAATAACCGCAGCACCACAGGGATACATGCCTTTTTCCCAGCGTGCTGCAAAGCCAGTGCTAGCTCAGTGGCGATGGATGGTGCTCTTGCCCACTCCCCCTTTCCCTGAGAGCACTAGAACCACGTGCTGGACCCCGGCCAGGTTGCCTCTCTCTGGAAAAGTGCCTATTCTTTAGAGGGACAATTATTTCCCCTGGGCCGTTTGTGGCACCACCCTGGTAGCAGCCAAGAGACAACTTCAGAAGTTGGTCCAGCTTCAGACAACTTGGGAGGTGCTGCTGTAAGAGAAGCAGGATGCTACCTCGTGCCAGGTTAGGCCATCGAGTCTGGCGGTGTCTGAATGAGGTCGGTTCTACGGGGTTCTTGGGCAGGGGTTCTTCCTGGCCCAGATCTTTTCAATGGGAGGTGATGGGAAGTGGGTCAGGGACCTGCCACGTGCAAAGCAGATGCTCTGCAACTGAACCGAAAACACCCAAGGGACTGAAGCGAAAACCGACCGCCGCCACCGCCCTGCTCGGTTCTCCCAGAGTTCCCCTCCCTCTTCTGCCGCAGCAACGTTAGAGGCCTCGTCCTCCTTTCCCTCTGATCACGTCCCCACCCCCCCGCCACTTGTTCACTTGTCTGCCAGACTGCCATCTCCCTGGGGCAGGGGCCTTTTTTTTTGGGGGGGGGGTGTCTTCGAAGCACTATGAGCTCCGTTAGTGGCGGCAACGCATCATAACAGTTGACAACAGCAACAAGCCACCAGTGCGCTGATTTCACCCTCTCCCAGAGAGCCCGCAGAAGCACTCACCAAGGAACGGGACCCCGGCATGCTGGGCCAACTCTTGCCCGCCTCCTTTAGAAAAGACATTGGTGCATTCCTGAAACAAGAGAGGAAGTTTCACTGCAGGGAAAGGAACTGACAAGGACGTCTTGATATTTAGGTTTAAAAGACAGCTGTCTCAGCGTCTGACCTCAGTGTGCCGCCGCCTCTGCCAACAGCCACGAGTTCTGCTGCCTTGGGAGGGAGCGGCCTGTCCTAAGTCAAGACGCCTCCTACCAATCAGAAACGGGAGAATGTCCTCTCTGGTACAGCCGATCAGCCGCACTCCTCTGGAGTGTGCTCTGCTTCTCTGGCAGACCAAAGCTGAAGCCGACCAGTTCAGACTTTGGAATTCCAGAGTTATCGGCAGAATCTCCTTTTGGTCCATTCACCACCTCACTGTTTAAACAATTGCAGGCATGAGAACAACCAACAATCAGAACTATTTCTTGTTTCGTGCTCACTGACGGAGTCTCAGTTTTGGAAGACTGACAGCGATGGCCGCGTATCATGGGTTGGGAAGGGGACTGCCGCCCGCTCGGGTTAAATGTCCCCCCAGGCTTTCACAATCTGACCCAAAGGGCGGAGTTCCGAAAGGCACACCACTCCCTGCCATCTGGAGAGCCCGCTCTTCTCGCCTCATTCTCCTGTCTGTACAAGCCAGAGATCAGAGCTTATTTGGCCCTGCAACAGAAAATAGCCATTGGCTGTAGCGGAAGACCAGCGGCGCTGCCATCCATCCTCTTTCTACAAATGGAATAAGGGGCAGCAGTACGATTAAACCAACATGAACAAAACTACTGCAATAGTGCAAGTAACAACTAGTAATAATGATGATAACTTATCCTAAATGTATACAAAATTCCAAAAATACAGTAACATCTATTTCCTAAAAATTGTGTCTAACAGATGATGGACGAAAATCTCCGGAGTAGAAGTTTTGTTTCGTGGAGACTTCTTCCTACATCACAGATTCATAAAGAAGTGCTCTTCAGAAGTCACAAACATTCCGAGTAGACTCTCCATTCACAAAGCATTTGTTGTATTCATTTTGGATGTCTAACCGACCTTTGCACTATGGTCGGTTAGACATCCAAAATGAATAATACAACAAATACTTTGTGAATTGAGAGTCTACTCAGAATGTTTGTGACTTCTGAAGAGCACTTCTTTATGAATCTGTGATGTAGGAAGAAGTCTCCACGAAACGAAACTTCTACTCCGGAGATTTTCGTCCATCATCTGTTAAACACAATGTTTAGGAAATAGATGTTACTGTATTTTTGGAATTTTGTATACATTTAGGATAAGTTATTATTACAAGTTGTTACTTGCACTATTGCAGTAGTTTTGTTCATTTTGATCCACCCTCTCTCTGCCAGATTTGAAAGTCATCCCAATGCGCGCGCCCCCCCAACTTTGAGCCGCAGCCCGATTTGCACCCCAAACCAAGACGGCCGTTCTCACTGAACAGTGCGGGCAGACGAAGCCGCTCATGTTCTCTACGATGCCGATGACCTTCAGCCCCGTCTTCTTGCAGAAGGTCAGCTCTCGCCTCACGTCCGCCACAGACACGGCCTGCAGGAAGAGAGATCGGTGTCTGCTGGAGCGGCCACAGAGGAAACGGCACTCCCAAGGGGGCACCCCATAGGAAGGAAGACAGAAAACTTGGGCCTCCTCCTCCCCACAGACTCCTCATGAGGTTACCAGACCACATCCAGGTTGTACCTTTCCCACGTGAGCTCAAGCGATGTAAAGTAAAGAGCCCAAGGGGCGGGCACATGCAGCAAGCCCCACCCCCTGCTCCCAGCAGCCCTCAGTCAGAGCAAGAAGCAGCCAGGTTAGTTGCAGAGCCCCCCCCCCCAGCCCCCAAGTCCAAAACAGTCCAGTGGCACTTTTAAGACCAAGTTTTATTCAGGTACAAGCTCTCCCTCCTCTGCGAGGGCAGATCTGCACGTCCCCCCCCCCAATAGCTAGCAATCAGTCCAGTGGAGCCTGAGCAGTGGGTGTTGCCTTAGGACAGCGAATCGAAGATTAAACCCTTCTCTGCATCTTGCTTACGGTTGCCAACCTCCAGGTGGGACCTTCAGTTCTCCGGAATTACGAAAACAGGGATCCGGTGTCACCTCCCTGGTGGGCTCCCTCCCTTCCCCAAACTCTCCCTTCCCCAGGCTCTGCCCCCAGATTTCCAGGAATTTCCCTACCCAAAGTTGGCAACCCTAACTTCCTGCTGCCGTTCTACATGGAGGAAGTGTTTTCGTTCCGTAGGGGGGGAACACTGATTCAACGTGCAAGGCCTCATTTGCAGCTGAAGATAGTTTTATCACTTGCTTGTGACAACCAGGTGTAGGAGGCTGACGTTTTGCCCCGTTTCACCCTCTGTGTGAGCAGCCAGAGAGGTCCTCTCTTGCCAGTGGTGGCAACAGACTATCAAGCTAGATGTACCTTGGTTAGATCCAGGGAAAGGCAGCCCCGTTTGTTTTGGTTCAAACAGCTTCGAATGAAGTAGAAACAGTGGCTAGCAGGAGCACCCCCTGGTGTCCCCTGCTGCTTTGTGTTTGTGTTTGGAAAATTCACTTAACGGCACACAGACCGATAGTTGCCTCCATGGTTCCATCCAGGGGTCATTTCCTGCAGGAGCGCACAGGAGCGGAACTCCGGCAGTAAAGAGCCCAGGGGGCGGGCACATGCAGCAAGCCCCACCCCCTGCTCCCAGCAGCCCTCAGTCAGAGCAAGAAGCAGCCAGGGTAGTTGCAGGCAGTGTTCCCTATAAGCTGAGTTAGTGTGAGCTAGCTCACAGGTTTTAGCCCCTGTCTCACACATTTTTGTTTTAGCTCAGGAAGGATGGCTCCAGAGCAAACTAATTTATGCAGTAGCCAAATCGCTCACTCACAACTTGAATGCCAGTAGCTCACAAAGGAGAATTTTTGCTCACAAGACTCCACAGCTTAGAGGGAACATTGGTTGCAGAGCCCCCCTCCCCCCAATCCCCTAGTCCAAAACAGTCCAGTGGCACCTTTAAGACCAAGTTTTATTCTGCACGTGTCCCCCCCCCCAATAGCTAGCAATCAGTCCAGTGAAGCCTGAGCAGTGGGTGTTGCTTTCTGACACATTTCCAGCAATGTCAGGGGGTGTGTCATATGCAAATGTTATGCTAATGAGTTATGCTAATAAGCTCCTGCACCTCTTTTTCTACGAAATGACCCCTGGTTACATCTACAAACTTTGCGTGAAAGCCAGATGCTTGTCTCTCTACATGAAGGTGAGGCCATTCCAGATCCTCACCCAAGCACCAAAGTATCAGTCTAGGGTAGCAACAGTCCACAATCCAAAGGCCACCGTACCTGTGGTGTTGTGACCAAAATGGCCCCCAGAGGCCGATACAGTCGAAGGGATTCCACTGCCGTGATGTGCTCATCAGAGGTCCCGGGAGGCGTGTCCACAATCAAGAAGTCGAGGTCTCCCCAAGCCACATCCGAGATGAACTGCTTGATCAAAGCTGCTTGAGAACAACACGGAATGGAGGAGAACAAAGATTGAGTCCACTAGCACCTTTAAGACCAAGAAGTTTTAATTCAGGTATGATTCCGGCAGTAGAGGTTAGGGACTCGCAATAATGGGTTTAAATTAAGGGCGGGAAGGTACCAGCTGGATCTTATGGAAAACTTCTTTACAGTCAGAGTTGTTCAACAGTGGAATCAGCTGCCTAGGGAGGGGGTGCCCCTCACTGGCAGTCTTTAGGCAGCGGCTGGACAAACACTTGTCAGGGATGCTCTAGGCTGATCCAGCATTAAGTAGAGGGTTTGACTAGGTGGCCTGTATGGCCCCTTCTGGAGCTGCAGTGGCTCAAGTGGTTAAGACGCTGAACTGCAGGCTGTGGAAGGTCAGTAGTTCAGCAGTTCGAGACCCGGGTGCCACATGATGGAGTGAGCTCCCGTCTCTAGTTCCAGCTCCTGCCAACCTAGCAGTTCGAAAGCAAGAAATTGCAAGTAGATCGGGACTGGATAAAAAAAATGCTCTTTATGGCAGAAATGGATAAATTGACAAGAAAACAATGGTAAAGAAGACGAAGAATTTTATGAAGAATGGAAAGACTTTAAAGACTATGTAGAAGAAAAATGGGATGTAAAAAATTCTTTGATACGTTTTAATAATTATTAGAATGGACTATGGGAATATAATCTATTGTAATGATGTATCTAAGTAAAGTTACCTGAATAAGAAGTTATAATATGTAGAAAGTTAAGTTGAAAAATAAGATAAGATAATAAGGGGGAAATCACACTGTGGGAAGCCATGTAACGGGGGGAGGGGAGTTAATTGAAAATGGATATATAAAAATGAAATAACTTGAATGAATGAATGTGATGATGTATCCTAAGAATAAAATTGTTTTTTTTTAAAAAAAAAGAAATTGCAAGTAGATAGATAAATAGGGACCACTTTGGTGGGAAGGTCACAGCGTTCCGTGCGCCTTGGTGTTTAGTCATGCCGGCCACATGACCACAGAAACGTCTTCGGACAGCGCTGGCTCTTCGGCTTGGAAACGGAGATGAGCACCGCCACCCTAGAGTCGGATTCGACTGGCTTTCGAGGAAGGGGAACCTTTACCTTTACTTTATGGTCCCCTCCATCTCTGTGAATCTATGAGTCTAAGCTTTTGTGTGCATGCACACTTCCTCAGTTGAACTTCTGAAGACGTGTGCGTGCACATGAAAACTTAATACACATCTGAAGAACTGTGCGTGCACACAAAAGCTTATACCCAGAATTAAACTTGTCGGCCTTCAAGGTGCCACTAGACTCAAACTTTGTTCTATTGCTTCCGTCCAACAGGGCTGCCCACCTGGATCTACAGAACAGGAAAGGTGTCGATGTGAGGGAAGGAGGTGGGACATCTCAATGATTGTTGGCAAAGTTACTGATTGCACAGAGAGCACCTGCTGTCTGTGCAGAAGGTCTAGGCTTTGGTCCCTGGAGTCTTCCATTAAAGGATGCGGGGTTGGACAGATCCTTCTCTGCCGAGGACCCTTGAGCTAGATAGGCCTGTAGTCCTAGTCAGCATAAGGCAGGTGTATATGGAAGGCACCTTAAATGGAAGGCTCCTTGAATCTTCAATCCCCCACCCACCCACCCCATACATGTTATTTTCTTTTGCTTCAGGGAAGTGAGGTTGTGATTTCATGGTACTGAGAAGTTTTACTTGGGGGCAGCAGCAAGAACGGAGGTATTCCATACCGTTTTTCTTGGGCCCTCTCCACACCACGGCATCGTCCGGCTTCTCCAGAAGGAAGCCAATGGACATTAGGGAGATGCTCTTGTCTTGGTCGACAAAGACGGGCACCCAGCCGCTGTCGCACTGATGAACATCTCTGTCCTGCACGTTGAGCATGCGAGGGATGCTGGGGCCGCAGAGGTCCACGTCCAGGATCCCAACCTACATTTGAAGGGAAATTGGGAAAGAGGCCTTCCTTCTTAACGAAAAAACCAATTTTTTTGCAAGCCCAAAACATCCCTGAGATGGATTTAAGCCACAAATGTGACGGCAGGTTAAAGGGCGCCGCCGCAGCATTGCTGGGACTTCATTAGGAACTAAACTAAACTACAATCGATATTGTAGTTGAATTTTTGCTCACCAGGAAAGGGGTGGGAGAAGACTGCTGCAAATCACTGGCTGCCCCCAGGTTAGCATATCCTCTACTACATGATGGGCCCCAGCTTGCATGATGAGATGTACTATGGTTTAGAGGCAGCATTACGTAGTGGTTAGAGCATCACACTAGGGACACATGAAACGTAGATCTGAATCCCTACTCAGCGATCACGCTCACCAGGCAACCTTGGGTGAGTTTTTTTTCTGTCACCCTTACTTCCCTCACAGGGCTGTTGTGAGGATAAAATGGAGCGCCGACTATGTTGCCTTGAGCTCCCAATGGAGGGGGGGGATAAAAATAGATGTGAGTGTAGAGTGCACCACTAGCAGTCCACAATCCCATAAATGGGGTTCACCTTGTAAGGGTGGGTATCCTCCTCCCAGCAGAATAGCTTAGGGCAAGGGGAAATGCCACCCCCTCACTGAACAAGGGAGAAAACAGCAAGGGGCCATATTTCAGCGGGAGACTCTGCTGTAGAATGTTATTTTCAAGGATATTTTTATTTTTAAATGGGGCTAATTTGCCCCAAATCAGTGTACCATAATGTGTATTCTGATAATACACTACTGAAGAGTTACACATCATAAAATTTAAGTTCATAGCCAAATATGCTGCTAGTCCTAGTATGACGTTTTTGAAAACCTTTGTCCAAATAACTCGCTCTGGTTTATTTTCTCTTTTCTGTTTTCCCCGCTTCAGATGGCAAAACTCAGACACGTGTTCTGAGGATGGCAACAGATGGCCAGTTCTGTTTCAAGTCATTCTTATTGTCAGGAGATTTCTCTAAACATTCCGACATTCTTGTTCAACTGATTTTATTATTCTAGATTTAATCATAAGTGTAAATGGTTTTTAATGTGCTGGGAAGAAGAAGAAGAAGAGGAGATTGGATTTATCTCCTACCCAAAGAAGTCTCAGAGCGGCTTACAAACTCCTTTCCCTTCCCCTCCCCACAACAGACACCCTGTGAGGTAGGTGGGGCTGAGAGAGCTCTGACAGAAACTGCCCTTTTTCAAGAACAGCTGTGCGAGAACTATGGCTTGCCCAAGGTCATCCAGCAGGTGCAAGTGGAGGAGTGGGGAATCAAACCTGGTTCTCCCAGATTAGAGTCCGTGCACTTAACCACTACACCAAACTAGAGTAGAATCTACTTCTATAATACCTGTTTCCAGTTCAGATGTGTGTATTACCTCCTCTCCCAAAACTTTTAGGTTCCATCCCTGGGTTGGCTAAATGTTTCAGCTTGATGGCCATATCTGGGTCTCTGCTTGCTTTTGAGAGGTCAGAGTTGGAGGCCAGCTGGTGGCAGAAATGGGAAGCACTGGCAAAAGCAAGCAGAAACCAGTGAGATTTCAGGTCTGGAGTATCAGAATTTTGAAAATGTGTTTCCTGAAGAAAATGGATATCAGGACCCTCTTTCAGGATTGCACGAGTGATCCTGTTTCTTTTAATAGGATTGTTGAGACCCTGACTGTTCAGAGTTAAAGCTTTTCACTTCCTACCCAGAGTCAAGACCAAAAAGGTTTCATAAGTGTGAAATATTCCTATGCATATAACTTTCGCTCAGTTTCTCTGGCAGATGTTCATGGTGTGACTACATAAATACTCACTGATTCAAGTATACTGAGTTTGGAATATCACTGGTTGTTATCATTGGCCCTTCCTTCATAGTTAATCATTTCACTCGTGTTCTTTATAATGTGCTAGAACAAATTTAGAGTCCAGCGGCACCTTTAAGGCCGACAAAGGTTTATTCAAGGTATGAGCTTTCGTGTGCATGCACATTTTTTCAAATACATTGGAATGGTAGGTAAAGTTCAAACTTCTATTCCAGTGTATTTGGAAAAGTATGCGTGCACACGAAAGCTCATACTTTGAATAAAACTTTGTTGGTCTTAAAGGTGCCGCTGGACTCTACATTTGTTTTACTGCTTCAGACCAACACGGCTGACCACCTGAATGTTTCTTTATAATGTGCTGTTACTTTTATTGTTATTATTATCCATAGATACTGCCAAAACATAAAAAAGCAAGCAGACAATTAGACATGGCCCGCACTGCTGCTCTGAATGGTGCGCCATCATCCAAGCGACTGTTAACAATTTAGGAGCACAGCCCACAGTGGATGCTAAAGTCCTGTGGACCGACGCCCCCCAAAAATGGTCAAGTGCTGTGCAGGCTGGATGAAAAGTACCCATAGGATTTGCCTCCTGGCCCCAAATTCAGCCATCTCTGCTATTCCCACTAACATCATAGGAGTCAAGACAGTTCTGAAGAGCGCAGACTCTACTGGGCCCAGGGCAGTGATTAGCCAGTGACAGGTAGCGGCGTTAAGAGGCTTCATGAGGATAATGTGAGCCAGGCTATTATTAGCCAGGTGTCTTTCCAGTTAGGCTGACTTACAGCTGTGATGTCGGCCCGCTCCCGCTCCCTCGGCTCTGCTGATCAATCAGTCTCATTGCAGAGCATTGCTGAGGCCAGCGGGTGGTGTGGGGAGAGGGTGCAAGGGGATCCATGTCTCAGGACAGAGAGCGACTGAGTCAGGGAAGAGTCAGATAAATTGCCTGACTCTTTCTGCTAAGTTTGGTCTAATGGAAAAGTTCTACCAGGGAAAATCGAGGCCCTACTGAGACTTGACAAAAAGCTTTAGGCTGGATCCAGCCAGCTTTCCCATTCAGCCTCACCTAATTCCCCCTCTTTACTACTGGTCCTATCCTTCTTGCCTTCTGTCAAATGCGGATCCCACGATCCCCAGTGCAGCTTTCTGGTGGTCCACAGCAATGTTCCCTCTAAGCTGTGGAGTCTTGTGAGCAAAAATTCTTCTTTCTGAGCTACTGGCATTAAGGTTGTGAGCGAGTGATTGGCTACTGCATAAATGAGTCTTGTGAGCAAAAATTCTTCTTTCTGACCTACCAGCATTAACGTTGTGAGTAAGTGATTTGGCTATTGCATAAATTAGTTTGCTCTGGAGCCGTCCTTCCTGAGCTAAGACAAAAATCTGTGAGACGGAGGCTAAAAAACTGTGAGCTGGCTCACACTGACTCAGCTTAGAGGGAACGCTGGTCCACAGGGATTCCCTCCTGCCTTTGTCACCAGCGGAAAAGCTGGCAGGACCTGAACGTTTTTTTGAAACGCATGTGTTTAGCCCTTCGAAGGCTAAAAGGGCAGAACGTGGGATAGAACCGTCTGAAAAATAACCGCCGCACCCCAGGGATACATACCTTTTTCCCAGCGTGCCGCAAAGCCAGTGCTAGCTCAGTGGCGATGGTGCTCTTGCCCACTCCCCCTTTCCCTGAGAGCACCAGAACCACGTGCTGGACCCCGGCCAGGTTGCCTCTACCACGTGCTGGACCCCAGCCAGGTTGCCTCTCTCTGGAAGGGAGAAGAAAGGCAACATGAGGCTGGCCTGAGCCGAATCCCACAACGGAAATCTGCTGGAAGCAAACCTGAGATCACTTTCTTACAATAAGAGAGGGATCTGCACTTGATCTGACCAGGAGATGGCACTCTGTACGTGCTCCAGGGCCCTCCCTTCTTGCCACTTCCCATTTCCCAAGACACACAGCCTAGCATGGCTAGCCTATATATGGAGGTCCACATCAGACGAAGCCTTTATTTGACATGCTGGTCTTTGGAGGGGGAGCAGCACACAAGGAGACAAGGAATGCTGGAAAGCAGACATGGAGGGGGGGGACAAACCTGCACCCCCATTTACTGAGCACGCAGTGGCGCAAGTGGTTAAGACGCTGAACTGCAGGCTGTGGAAGGTCGGTAGTTCAGCAGTTTGAGACCCGAGTGTGCCGCATGACGGAGTGAGCTCCCGTCTCTAGTTCCAGCTCCTGCCAACCTAGCAGTTCGAAAGCAAGACATTGCAAGTAGATAAATAGGTACCACTTCGGTGGGAAGGTAACAGCGTTCCGTGCGCCTTGGTGTTTAGTCATGCCGGCCACATGACCACATCTTCGGACAGCGCTGGCTCTTCGGCTTTGAAACGGAGATGAGCACCGCAACCCTAGAGTCGGACTCGACTGGCTTTCGAGCAAGGGAAACCTTTACCTTTACAATCCTTATTTTGTCACTCCCTGTGGGGACTTTGTTGTTACTATTATTCTCATTTTACAAGTGGACAATCGAGGTGGAGAGATGGCTACACCACGTATGAGTATCCAGATCTGAAGTCCAACCCACCAGCTACTTAATTTCAAACTCCAAAGCTGCTTAAGCTCAGGTATCAGCTGCTTTCCTCCTCATCCCTACAGATATCAAAATGCTTTTCGGCTAAATGCTCTGAGTCCAGCTTAGGTCTGGGTCCTCCTTAGAAGTGCCTGACTTTCTGCACAGTTGTGCCGTTCTGGGTTTAGGTCCTACTATATCTTATCTTGGCTTGCCCTACGGCCGGCACGGGCTCAGGCAGAAGGGGCCTCAGAAGGAAGGAGCAGGCGGGATGTCCTGGCCGCATCATGCAGGCATTGTGGAAACTGGCAAGGAAGACAAAGCCAACCGATATGCAATCGCTGCCCAAACCATTGGAAATGCCACTCAGTCTCCCAAGGAAGGGCTGCATACACAGTCCTGACCACACCGTGGAAGACAGATGTACCTCTGTGGCCCCTGAACAGAACGCCTTGAGCTGAATCACAGCAGTGAGGACAGGAAAAGCGAGGCAGCTCCTGCTGCTGAGACACGACGGGGACCCCTTCCTTGGGGCAGGTCAAGGAGTTTGGGGCTGCTGTATTTTAGAAACAAGACTGGGAGGACCTGTGGGCAGGGCTTTTTTTGTAGAAAAAGCCCAGCAGGAACGCATTAGCATAATAGGCCACGCCCAACAGAAGAAATTCATTAGCATATTAGGCCACACCCCTGACAGCACAACTCATTAGCACATTAGGCCGCACCCCCATGTTACCAGAGGTGTGGTCATCCAGCCACACCCACCTTTTGCTTCTTATTCTGTTTACCTTGTTTGTTGTCCAAACCCAGGGCCTTTTTTTGTAGCAGGAACTCCTTTGCATGTTAGGCCACACACCCCTAATGTAGCCAATCCTAATGAGTT